CCTAAGCTTCTGAGCAATACTAGTAGGCCTTCTGTAATCAAATATTGCTGTACTAGGCATCATTCTGGGCATATTTTATAGCAAATAAAGGGTCTTCATTCTTTTTTGTACAATGTTATCCCAAAATGGTGAGAAAAACCACTTACTGTAAAATATCTGTTACAAAGATTTAGATACCATACTTTTGTTTTCATTCATGTCTGACTACTAGCTCCTTTACCTCAGGCCTAACCTTCTACATAGCCTAAGTTTCTTCCCTTTTGTTGTTACATACAACCGATCACCAGAAATGCAAGATTTTTAACGTCTTCAAAAAAATTCCCTTAGTATAAAGTGACCAACTTTTTTTTTTGCATAAAAAACTGATCATAAAAGCTTGCATTATACTCAAGTATATACAGTATGTAGAAAGCAACAATGAACAAAGAAACAATATCTTTCATAATCTAGCAAGAATTTTGTAATAAAGTCAATTTTAAACTAAAACTTGTTTTAATATAAATCTTTTTTGTTTCAAAATCAATAAAAATTTAAATAGAAAAAAAAATTAAAGACATGAAACTGAATAGGCACTTGAAATTTGCTGGATCTCTGAAAAAAAAGAATAAACACACCACTGTATCAAGTGTGGAGCAAGATCAGTACTGTATTAGCCAAATTCTGAAATGTTTAAATGTTTGTTTTGGACCCCACTCTAAATACACTTTCCTTAAAACGATGTATACTTATGGGGACGCGACTGTAGGTCACACAAAAAACTGGCCTTGTACCACATAGCACAAAATTAATAAGGTAATAAATTTGTAGAATATTTTCAACAAAGGATGGACTTTGATATTAAATTTTTAGAAAAGATGTTATAAATTGTTTAACTCCATAAATTATTCTGGATCCCTGCTGTTATTGTGGCTACTCTGCCAACTGGAGGATTCTGAGGCCCTAGCCACTGGGTCTGGTCAAAATGAAAAACAAGATTGTTCATACAAACTCAGAACTGTTGATTAGAGATTAACTATTCAGTTACTATTTGTTTGTTTAAGTCTACACATAAGGCCAAGACACCTGCTATTGAGTGATTGTTAGCAAATTGAACTTGTTTAAGGTTACACATGTTTATAAATATGTTGTTAAAATATACAAAAATTCATTTCTATTTGAGCTACAAGAATTTTGTCACATTCTTAGATCAATAATTAAAAACAAGAATTTTATGCTGACATAGTGTCCCAAAATAATTTTTTTAAATTACATTATATAAAGCTCTTATTCAAAAAAAAGGGTTAATTGTTAAATTTTAGTCTAAAATATGATAATGCTTTTAAACTTTACTTTCATTATATTCTTCTCTGTGCCGGGTCTCTTCAGGACGTGGGCAATCATGGCTCTCCACATTTTCCTATCCTTTATAGCCCTTAGTGTGTCTTTTTGTTATCTCTCCAAATCCTTATTCTGCCAACTATTTTAGTCTAAAACATGATAATGCTTTTAAACTTTACTTTTATTACATTTTTCTTCTACGTGCCATCCCCCTTCAGGACGTGGGTCATCATGGCTCTCCACAACTTCCTATCCTTTGTAGCTCTTAGTAAGGTGTGTTTTTTTTGTTAGCTCTCTCAATTGCTGTTCTGACATGAATTTACACAGGCTCATTAGGTATGTTACTTACTGCTTTCCTCTGTCTCTCTTGCCTTCAATATGTCCTGTGAGTGTCAAATTCTTCAAGACCTCTTTCCCTATTATGTGTTCTAGAAATTTCAACTAACTCATTCTGATTCTAAGTATAAGCCCCCTTTTTGTTTCCATTTTCTTCAAAACTTCCTCATTACTCAACATCCTTCTGTAGAACCACATTTCTGTTGCCTCAGGTTTCTTTTCATTACATTACTTATTTTTCTATAAAAAACTATCAATAAAAATCCCAGGAAATGTTTAGACATGAGGGTTTATTTGAAAAACGTTTTTTTAGCATGCAGTTAAATTACAACTTTCTACTACATTACTTTTTGCTTTTGTTACTTGAATTGAACAGATAATTAAACCTGAAGCAGTATAATGTTATAGATTCTAATAACAAGGACATATAGACTTAAATTGTGGTTGAGAAAAGGTATTCCCCATTGGCATAAGGATTTTTTTAATTTATTGTATGTAATAAAAAATACATATAAAGTTTGTATTAAATGATTTTTTAATGCTATACTTTTTTTCCACATTTCCAAAATTTTTTGTTCACTGCCTGATAACTTTTACATTATGGTTTTGTTGTGTACTATGTTGTTGTTTTTTAGTAGTATTCATCTTATATTCAAAATACTTCCAATATTATTTTTTTTAATCATTTCACCCCAAATAAGGCAATAAAGTCACTAATATGCAAAGGTTTACTGAGTGTGAGAAAAAAAAAATTATTAAGATTTGTTAATATCCAAGATTTTGAAGTTTTCTAACTTCTTGGCATATTAAAACAGTAAAAGTGTTATATTTTGTTCAAAGTTAGTCTGGAACTGTGTGATGCGAAAACATACAATTCTTATTAAGTTAATTGAGATATGAACACTTAACACAAAATGTATTTTTTGTGCCTGGATATATATGAGTGAAAGATTTTACTGAGTATATACCAGACATTAAATATTAATGTTCATTTTATGAACATAAAATCCTGAGGACATTCTGTATTGTTAATGATTGGGTACATAAGAAAATGTTAACTAAATGACAAAGTGTATTCCTAATTGTTTTCATTAAGAGATTTATTGGTTGATTTGTTTGTTTAATGGCATTTTAATATTCCATTAAACAAATCAATCAAGCAATAAAAATAATTAGGAATATTTGGTAATCCTTTAAGTTATATGGTATTTACAAAACCTGAATGGGTAATTATATTAATAAATAATACTTATATCATTTGGAGAATACAGCGAACTTTTGTCAGTGTGAAGTCTGACACCGAAGTTGATTTTTAAAGTAGTTTCTTTCAAGTTTAATAACATGTTTTAATCTTTGTTTAATTCATTTTTTCCTATTACAGACCTGTATCTGTGCTAATTGAATTTTGGTTCTATGAAGCATTTGTGAAAAGTCTAGATAGAGCAATGAAAAATCAATCAGTTGTTGGTAATGGACTTGTCAAAGGAGTTAATATTGGTTCCCTTATTAATTCTCAGGCTGTAAATAAGGTAATTATCTTAGTGCTAGATAATTCAGGATTTCATTACAATTTTTAGATTGTTTAATGTCACATCAACTCCTTATAGGTCATTTAATCCCAAAATTTAATTTTCTTGGGAGTGTGGGCATTTTTTTCAAAAATGTATTGCTGATAATTTTCTTTTTACAATAATCTATTGTTTTTTTAACTATGAAAATGTATTTTTATACTTTCAGTGTTTTGACCCCAGTTTAGGAGTGTTCCCTAATTGACCATGGCTGGGACCCTAACAAGTGCTACCACCCCAGGTCAGAGTGAACCTGGGAACAACAACACTTAAAACCTCCTGATCAAAGACCTTGCTGTATGATGTAGCTTATTGTCATACCCAGGACAGATCATTAGGAGAAACCTCCAAAAATGTATTTTCTTTTGTATGTACATTGACTTTTTTCCCCCCAAATATATCCATAGTAATCATATAACAATGAAAATTGTGTGTATATGTGGACATGTATTAAATTTATCAGTGTGCATAACAAAAGATCGAAATGAGATAAATTTTCACTATTAAGTGAAGTTTACAAAAGAAAATATCAATTTAAAATTATTATTTATGTAAGTGAATACTTAAGATGTAATATGTCCATGCAATATTGATTGATTGTAAATATGATATGGCATGTACAAATATACACACGCTTAAAAGTGAATTTACTTGATAATGTTCTGTTGTAGCAATGTTATATAGCTGTTATTTTTTTTAATACAGTGAATTAAACAACATATTCCCATAGCTATGAGTTAAACAGCTGGGCAGAATGGGTTATCTAGGATTGTGTTGGAACCAGTCAAAAAGAAAAACTCAGAACTTCAAATTCTGGAGATGGCAACAAGAAATCACTAACTGTTCCATGGCAATGCACTGATAATAAAGAAAAGAAATCTGTGGAGAGTCATAATCACCTGCATTCTGAAGGGACATGGCATTAAAAAATTAGACTAGTTATAGATAATATTAGATTTAGTGAACAGGGTGGTACAGACATTTTGCTGACTCAAAAAAAAAAGGATAATGAAGTCAAATGCAGGCTTTTGTTTTGTTTACAAAAACCTCATTTTATCTGGGGGAACACACTGAAAAATACCAAATAAGATTTTGCATGTTTTGCATTTTTATTTGTTAATAAAAAGGTTTGTATCCTTATGACAATAGAAAGGCTAGTTTTTATATAAATTAACCATTTTTGTCTTTGGACAGCATTGGAAAAGGGACATTGAATGGTTTCTTTTTCACATGTAATTAAATAAAAATATTTAAATAAATAGAAAGTTTGTGAAATTTAACACTCAAATATTGCGCTATTTTGGCCTGTTGCAGACAGAACTCGTGTGACAATTCTTTTTTTTTTTTTAAGAATTTTAGTCATTATAAGTTTTTAGGCTTTATACATCCCCATAAGTGTCCAAGCTGTTAGGGGATTGGTGCTTTTATTGAGATACAATCTCTTGCCAAGCAAGTCTAAAGAGTTTGTATTTGTGTATTAGATGAAGACTTGTGACTTTGTGCTAATACAACCATTCATGGCTTCTAAACAGTTTCACCTACCCAATTTCACTCACAAGGTTTGTGTCGACCCATAGTATGGTTTTCAAGTACTTCCCAATAGTGCTGCTCACTGGAATTGTGCCCCCAGGTCAATATTATCACCACCTTCAAAAATCGATCATGTTGAGATTTGAACCTGGGTTTCATGGTTGGAATGCTAATGTTCTAAAATAACATTCAAATATCCTACATTAAATCTTTGTGGTCCAACATTTACATGATTTTAATTTTCAAATATCAAAAGAGAAATGTTTCTGTTCCAATAACCATGATGTGAATAATGTTAATATGAAATATTCTGTGCTGGACTTATGAGATGGAGACAAAATGTAATTTTCTACCATTATTCATATATTTAATTTTCTGGTAAATGCAGTTGGTAAGTAAAGATAAAATTTCAAAATTAAAGATTCCTCAAAATTTTCACTGAATATTAATAATGAATATGTAATTAACAGTAAAAATTTATAATAATATTTCTTTGTTTCATTCTGATAAACCATACCTTTAATTATACAGATAGATTTATTGATAAATCAATTCTTTTTTTGGTATACAAATCATCTGAAATCTCCTTTAAGTCGCCATATACCAATTCCATTTCTCTTGAAAAAGCTGCAGATTTCTTTCAACATGGATTTGAATCTGGCTGATTCATTTGGTGGTATTCGAGCTTTGAATTCATTAAGCAGTTCTTCTGTTGTTGCTTGTCCATCAATAGCACACTGGAATGCTATAAAATTACGAATTTCAGAGATGAGTTCAATATTATCTGGTTCTACAAAGGTGTTGGGATCTGAATCCTGGTTGAGTTCATTATTTAGTTTTCTTTTCCGCATACGATTGAGCAATTCTTGTGAGGACATAGCTGCCATTGTAGATTTCTTTTGTTTGTCAAGTAGACATTGGTTTCCGGACACATGACCATCAAAATGTTTGATGTTTTTAGAAGGAGTCTAAGAAAAGAAAAGAATAATATGATTTAATTATGGAGGTAAAAGCTCCAAGGAGTAACTGGGTAGGTACTAATAAACTTGTCCTGATGCAGAAATTGCATCAAGGATAAAGAATTAATAAATCAGTTATTTAATGATAAAGCATATTTTTTTTTATCACAAATGCTAGATAAATTGTTTTTTTTTCCATTTTTATTTCTCCTTTATTATTTATTTTATTCTTCCCTAGGTACAGCCCCCTGATAAAAAAAATATATATATATATATATATATATATATATATATAGAGAGAGAGAGAGAGAGAGAATATATATATATATGTATGTATGGTACTCTCATTTCTGGTACATTGGAGTAGTTTCCTGGTCTGTACATCCTTCCATTTGCCTGAGGAGATCTTGCAGTGAAATCTGATTTGTGAGATAGGATAGCATTTGAGCTATTTCTTTTATATATATATATATATATATATATATATATATATATATATATATATATATTATATTAGTGAATATACATAGTATCTAACGTCAACTAATAGATTAAGGAAGAAAACCAAGACTTTTGTGTTTCCATGGGAGTACATGATTCTAAAGAAGCATAAGAACTTGTTGGGATACAGTTACTATGGAGATTCAGATTTATTTCTAATATAAAAAACAACGGTATATACACGGACAATGGGATAATCCTCCTTCATAAACTGAGACCAAGACAATCAGACTAGATGAGAAAGGACCATGAACTAAACATTACCACCAATATCAACGCTAACGTGATCAATGTCCTAGACGTTACATTTGACATGTCTAAGGGCTTGTACAAACCATACACTAAGGATTTATACAACCACGGGTACGTTGACAGAAGATCTAATCACCACAAAAGGATACATGAATGTAACATAATATGGTTCAACCCACCATACCACAGTAATGTCAAAACCAATGTAGGTAGAATTTTCCTGAATTTAATTCACAAATACTTTGATCATTCTCCAACACTAAAAATAATTTTCTACAAAAATAACATTAAGGTAAGATATAGTTGTACAAAAAACATAGATAATTATATATTCCAACATAACAATAATGTATTAAACAAGCTTCCCCCAAAACAAAAAACACTAAAAAATAATCCTGCTAAAAGTCAATGCAACTGCTGTAAAAATGTAACCTGCACATTATGTGGCCAGTGTATGACCAAAGACAATATACAGAGCTAGGATTTCTACCACCACAAAATGACACTGAGCAATATCAAACACAAAAACTGCACAACACTTTCAAAGTATGTTTGGTGATTAAAAAACAACCATAAGAACTCAACCATTAGCTAGGGGATAATTGTGAAAGGGAGACAGATGTAACTTGTGTTTGCTGGAGAAGCTTATTATATTAAAACACTTAAATGACCCTAACTTGCTGAACACGAGATCCGAATTGATGTGTACATGTATCCATAAATCCAAACATCTGCTCAAACACATTGACCCCGATTAATAGAGACTGCAAAACAGATTTTACAAATATTAATGTAATATACAACAACTTTTAATATTCTTCAAACCCATAATTAATGACATAGGTTAGGAAAGTGATAACAGCTACTGGACATGAGAAACTAATTTTCTTGAAAAATTGTTTTAAGAGAAAGCTTTCTTAAATTTCAACAAGCAGCAGCACTGGCTGCTCAATCAAAGAATATCAAATATTTCCTTATAGCATTAAAATAAATTTCAATTACTTACACTTGGTGGAGTAGATGATGTTGCTGTGGGCTTAATAATATTGGATACAAGCATTGAATTCTTTTTCTGACCAAATCTTGGTCTGCAAAGAAAAAAAAGAATTTGTCAGTAAATATATAAAAGGAAACAAAAAAAGAAATTAAAAAAAAATGTAAAGTATGAATTTTTATTTGAATGCATTATAACATTCAAAAACTTGTAGTTTGTTCCTAATTTTTTCATTTTTTTCTCATCAATGCAAAGATATGAAATATCTTACAGAAAATATTTTCTCCATTCTGTCTTTACTAAAAAAATAGGATGTTAAAAACACAAATATTATCTTCTTTGCTTCTTAACATTCTATCTTGCAACAGTCTGTTGCATCAAATTCTAACATTCTTTCATGACTCTTCCCAATTTTAAAATTTTAATCCTTTAATTAGATTCACTGAAATGAATCTGTCATCAAATCTTAAAAATCAGTATCAATATCAAATAATCTAAAACAGTGGGTTTTAAAATAACTGATAAAATCTTTGAAAAGGTGAATAATAAAAATAAGGGGTGTCGCTACAACATCTGCATAGCATCAGACATCAATATTTTTAAACATCCTCATTGGTCCATACTAACCAATGAAATAACTTCCTGCTTAAATCCAAAATGCTGCCTGGGAGCCTACTGATGGTTATTTAAGGAACAGGTCCAGAGAGAGAGAGAGAGAGAGACACACACACACACACACACACACACACACACACACACACACACAAAGGCACAGATAGATGCATGATACTGTTGCCATATTTATGATCAGATTGAGAGATCATCTAGCAGACAAATGAAGAATACATACAAATTACCACACCATAGAAATATGAAGTCAAACAACAATTTCATACAACTCATAAACTAATCACACTTGAAATAACAAAAGATTAAATCCAAGCATGATTTTTAGCACCATTAGTATAATACCCTGAAAAATTTGACCCACTGAAGATAAATCATAATGCAGCTAAGTAAAGCAAGAACTCTCTCTACATCTATATCTCTTAATGCTGCATTTACATCCACTGTGAATAAATAAGTTTGTTGTTGCATTTTGTTTCTGCAAATAAAGATTGTTAACCTTCAGCATGTCTTTCTTCATGTCATTATGTTGCATGGCAGAAAGGAGGAATACATTTTGATTAAAATCCTTCTGATATTTATGCAGGCTAAATACCTTTCTCCTTCCCACCATCTGCAACAGTATAAAAGTTCTTTAAATTGATGACAAAATTAAAAATGTTGCAAATTAAATTGAAATTTTATTAATTATGGTTAGTTATACCATATATACTCGAGTATAGTGTGAGTTTTTATGATCAGTTTTTATGCAAAAAATAGAGGGTCACATTATACACAGGCAATTTTTTTGACCAGTTGCACTATATACAGGTAATTTTTTTTTCTGGAAGGGGTTAAAATTCATGCCAAAAAATTCAGGGGTCATGCTATAGATAGTCTTTCTCACTTGAATCTATCTTACATATTTATAAGTCTACCATTCATACTGCCACATATGGTCTGGTGCTCCTGCTATATATTTAGAGATTCTTGATAAAGTCCAAAGAAGAATCTTCAATGTTATTGGTCCTAACCTGACATTGTGACTTCAGTCACTTCCTCACTGTCGTAATATAGCTTCCCTGTGCCTTTTCTATAACTATTTTCATGGTAATTGTTCTGATGAAACCTGACTTTATAAATTTAAGTGCAGTTCTAAATTGGCAACAAGGTTTCATCAGTTAACAGTTGAATTGTCTAGATGTAAGTTCTATGCTAACAGTTTATTTTCATGCACTAATTGTTTACAGAACTCTCTTTCAGCTTCTTGCTTTCCAGTCAACTAAGATCTTCCAAAATTTAAATGCAAATTATTATCTACTGTCTTCTTCATTCCCCTTTTATTGTTCTTGCTCTTTAAGGTTTTTCTTTTTCTTTTACTCCCAGTAGCCCCTTGCATCTTAGTGCTTTTAATGTCTTAATGGGGTGAAATGATTAAAAAGAAAATAGGAAGAAAGATGACAACTGATCCTTGTCTTGGAAAAGTCAAGTTTGAAGTGTTCAGGGGAAACAAACATGCAGTAGTTTGTTCCATAAAGTAGCAGTTATTGCGAAAAAAAGCTATCTGAGTGGAACATTCTTCTTGCATTTGGAGCACAAGGGGAAATGAGGATGATTCAACTCCATGGAAGTGGCAAGGTGAGTCCTTGCTGCCAAAGTGTGAACTGGTGGCACTAGAAACTAAAGCTCATCTGAACATGTGCCATGGAAGCAGTGACAGAGTAGTAGACAAGCTTGTAAATGTTTGTGGGAAAGATGCTGCAGAGTAGAAAACAAGTTATCATGCACAAGACCATGTAAATGATTTTGAACACACTGAAGGACTGAAAGTGAGGATGCTAATAATTGTAGAATGATAATCTGAGAGTTGAAAGAAATACAACCAAAAAGAAATAATGATAAAACCATAACACACACACACACACATATATATATATATATATAATATTATGAATTAATTGATTTAAAATATGGTTTTTTCCGCTACACAGTTCTAACCATGTTTCAAAAATGGAAGCTAAAAGCGACAAATTTAATTTTGCTATTAAATTAAAGACATTAGTTCCATTTCATCCTCAAGCAAATTTTGGAGTAACTTTTAAAATTACTGGGTTTTAAAGACAAGGCTAAAATCACGTTTCCATAGTTACAGATAAATCTACTTCAACTGGACAAGGGGTGTCTGGGTTTTCCTTATATCTGCATCATTGTATCGGTTATTAGCTACATTTTGGTAAGGGGTAGAGATGTATTTTTCAATGAAAACTGACATCCATTGAATGCATATCGTCTTGATTTTTTTTTTTAAATTTATTGTTAACGGCAAAAAAATTCTTGCGGCATTTTTTTCTATTTGTAAATTTATAGATTTTCGCGGGTGTTCAGATTAGAATACTTTTTATTTAACTACGATTTGAAATATTCTCATTTTTAATTTTTATTATACTATATTTTTTTTTAAGAACAGTTAAATGTATTAGAATCCCTTATAGTATGTAGGATTATTTTTACATCAAGTATAAGCATGTATATTAGGTTACATTTTTTATTTTATTTTAATTTATTTTTTTTTTATATTATTTAAGTTACATGAGAAACAATATATTACTAGGTTTATATATATAAAAAAAATAAAAGTTTACTAAATCAGTGAAATTAAGTAACTATTTTTGACGTCATTGTCATAAATTTTACTTAAATAAAAAAAAAAAAATCCAGACAACATGCATTCAACGGATGTCAGTTTTCATTGAAAAATACATCCCTACCCCTTACCAAAATGTAGCTAATAACTGATACAATGATGCAGACATAAGGAAAACCCAGACACCTCTTGTCCAGTTGAAGTAGATTTATCTGTAACCATGGAAACGTGATTTTAGCTGTGTCTTTAAAACCCAGTAATTTTAAAAGTTACTCCAAAATTCGCTTGAGGATGAAATGGAACTAATGTCTTTAATTTAATTGCAAAATTAAATTTGTGGCTTTTAGCTTCCATTTTTGAAACATGGTTAGAACTGTGTAGCGGAAAAAACCACATTTTAAATCAATTAATTTATAATATTAATGCTCTGTAAATTTACATTGAGCACTATTTTGTAAAAATAAAAATACCTATAAGAACACTGGATTATATATCTTACTGTTCTTTCTTTTTATTTATATACATATATATATATATATATATATATATATATGAAGAAATATAGTTTTAAGATGTGCTATATTTACGGGATCAAGTGCTCAATATCAGGGATAGAGTATATGTAAATATAAATATAAACCTTCATTGAAGTCAACACTCAGAGGCGACAGGTTGTTTCATGCTAGACGCAATCATCAGGCCTGAAATGTTCACTTTTAATATATATATATATATATATATATATATATATATATATATATATAAAATGGTAAACGTTAATTAAAAAGAAACCGAGAGTTTACTCACTTGTTACTTCCTCCACTCTGTCCCGTCCAAGTAGGAATGCCAGAAAGTGCTCTGTTGGATTCAGACCTCACCCGCTTGAGAGAATTTGCTGCTTGCTTTGCTACACGATCAGCTTCAGCTTCGATGAGGATATAATCAGCTTTTGATGCGTCCATGACCACATCATGTTTCAAAGCACTATGAACACCTAGAAGTGATTCAATAGGAAATTCTTTTATAATCAATCAAGAAAGATGACTGAAACCAGAACAAGACAACATATTGGGTGCTGAAAAGTTCTTTGTTCAACCAAGAAAGGATTTCAAAACAAATGTGATGTTTGGTTAGATTTTAAGAAATAGGTCAAGCTGTTTACTTTTTCAGTGCGTCATCATAAATTACACAAACCTTATAAAGATAAATATGTAGGTAAATTATTAATAAAAATGTATTATATAGGTGGAGGCATGGTGGAGTAATGATAGCAGCTTGGATTGATGAATTGGAGAGCTGAGTTGGAATTCCACTCAAGTTCATTATATTCACTTATGTACTAATACCCTTGGGAAAGGTATGAATCCATCTCTTCTCCCCAAAAGCTATAGGTAAAGAGCAGAACAGTCTGGGTCCTATAGCCCTAGGTGGCAACTAATCTAGGAGAAGGAAAAGCCCTGAATTAAAAAAAAAAAAACAGCCTGGAGAGGGTAGGGCTCCATCAGGTTATCTTGCCCTGGAAACACCACTGCTACTAATGGGTCTCATGATCATGATTGATATCAATGAACATTTCATTGTGATAAACAAATGTACTAACATGATGTGTGGATAAAAGCAAAAAAAGAACGATAATTTTGAAAATGTAAGTTTTCTTCAACATTTCTATCTTGATTTCAACATTTGAGGAAATCTGAGACCATATTCGTAGATGATCCATTAAAATTTAGCATGGTGCAGTTTTGTTACTTTTAATAGCAAATTGTGATACACAATGTACTTAACTCCTTGTGATCCAGCAGACCCAACTTCGGCATTGAGAGGATCTCTTCAGCCATGGATCAAGGGACAGTTCTGCTTTATGTCAGTAATCAGATTGCAATTGGTGAAGTGACAAAATGGTATTCAGTGACATGATCAAGGCTATATCTGTGACCGGGTCAGCTTAAGATCACACATATAAGCAAATGAATTTATTAACATTATTAAACTTACTGATCAGATTAAAACAGATAAACTATATATAAAAAAGAAAAATATACCATATGACAAGATACTGAACTTTAAATAAGTATATGTTTATTTGTATCTTAGAGTAAAGAAATCTTAATCTATTAATAATGTAATGGTTAAATTTTTTTAGCTAAATGCCCACCCAATACAAGGCCCAGAGCCAGTCAAGGTAGATGGTTGCTGAACGAAGTCATTGTATGGATGTAAAATGACAAAGTAGGTGTAAATTATAAGTTAACAGTTGACTTTGAACTTGAAGAGGTTAAGATTGTAGTGATTGGGAATGATTCCTCTTGGGAGTATGTTCCACAAAACAGTGATTCTCAGAAAGAAGGTGCTTGAATTGAACTTCCTCCCTACTAATGGAATATGAAGGAAATGAAGATGATTTGACTCTGTGTATGTGGCATGGCAGGTCCTAGCTGTAAAAGTCTGAACTGGTAGAACTTTAACTTGTCTGAACATTTGCGATGTAGTGATAGAGTAGTGATAGACTTGAGATATGTCATCTGTTGGGGTGAAAATAATTTGTCATCCACAAAGCCATATAAATGCTTCTGAATTCTGTCAAATCTGGAAAGTGCTGATTGAGCAGCTCCAGACATAATACAGTAACAATATTCCATTTTTGGCTTGATTTAACTTTTGTAAAGTATAAGAGTGGATCAATAATGGTCATAGCTTAACATATTTATTAGCTAAATTGTTACCTGAACTTTTTACTGTATAATATTTGATCTATGTAATCTAGAAGAGAATAAAGAAAGTATATAAATTCACTTTCATACGTTTTATTAGTTTTCATAGGTTTTATTACAATCCTAATCATCGCTTTTTAAAACAATAAACATTGGTGAAGAGTGAGGGTAATTAAAAAAATGGTGTCATGAGAAAACCTGCCCTTTTGACACTGTCTTATTGCAGGCATGAAGGTCCATGTTTATTGATGAAGACAATAGTCTGCATGTGAATAATATAAATAATAATAACTCTGCATCTTGCCTCTTGAATAAATGAGGGCAGAGGTGGAAATCAAATAATGGGATGGGCTTTAAATTTACAAGAATTTTCGTAAATGGCTGGCATTCAAATGGCTATTTTTTTCTTTAGAAAAATATGAAGCCACTAAAAAGTAATTAAAATGTATTCATAAGTATGTTTAAAGTCAAATTAAATGTTTTTGATATTTCTAAAGTAATAGGATATATTATTAATCAAGATGCATTCATTTTTCATGATATACATTGTTTGCTGTCATGAAATTTTAATAAGGAGACGTTTAAATAAAGTGTAGGGGCATTTCAAAATTTTAATAAGTGCACCCTGCCCATATTTGTGAGGCAAGAAAATGTGGGTAAAATATAATGATTTTAATATTGTAAGTTTCTTTAAATTTTCTATTCAGAATTTAAACAACATCGAAAGTTAAGTACCACATTTTACAAGCACATTTTTTTAATTATTGCTTATTCTTACTCATCCAAATTCTCCTGTTGTATGGCTCCTCAGCATCTTAACTACTTAATGCAGTACATAAAACAAAGAAAATAACAGAAAATACTTTAAAAGGAAATTTATAAATCATAATAAAGAAAAAAGGATTCAAAGCAGAAAGCGTTTTTGAAGCTTTACACGTCTGATCTGACTCGGTTATCAAAAACCATAACTTTTCGCGACCTACCTGATTTCTTGAAAAGACGATGCAATACATAGTCATCCATTATAGAATTCTTAGCCTGCTTTTCCTCTTCATCTTCATCATTTTGAACAGGTTTGTAATCCGTCTGCTTCACCAAATTGGATATCAACTCTCCATCCATATCTTTTCCAAAAATTAAAAATATATATAAAATTGAGATATTCTAACATGTTTACTGAATATTAAAAAAAAGTAAGCAATTTATTCTAAAAAATATTTTTTAAAAGATTACATAATTCAGTGAATAATTCAAATATTTTGTAGCTTAAAATTTAGATAAACATTTATATTTGATCAATAGAATATTGATATATCTTTTTATTACGTACCAACAATGCTATATTTTTATTAAGTCTATCTAGAATATTTTATAACCATTTTTTTAAACTATCTTTCTATATTTAAACACCAGCAAACTAAAATTGTCTAAGCTATCCTTGTTTGAATATCCAAGATAGCATTATTACAGATTAATTAATATGAAGCTTTATTTAGATTGCAGTACAGATTAAACTATAGCTGTCAACTTCTTTATCTATGCACTGTGTCTCTTCATGACATGGATGATCATGGCTCTCCAAACTGTCTATTCCTTGTGACCCTTAATAGCTTTATCCCTTTGCTAAGGCTCTGCCTGCCTCATTCCACTATTCATTCACACAAGCTTGTCAGGTAGGTGGCTCACTGCCTTCTCCTATCTCTCTTAGCCGCCCTGTGATGATTAAGTTTTCTAAGCCTTCTTTCCTCATTACATATCAAAGGTTAGCTTTTTTTCCTGATTCTGAGCTTGGCTCTTTTTGTTGTCATTGTCTTTAAGACATCCGTGTTGCTTATTTGTTTTGTCCATGAAATTCTCGGTATCATTCTGTAAAACCACATTTCTGTTACCTCCAGTTTTCTCCTCATCTGTGGGGAGATTATTCAGCATTCACTGCCATATAAGAGGATGGATAGCAATCCAGCACTCTTTTCTTTGTTTTTAATGAACCTAACTGGAATTATTTTAGACTAAATTTATTGTTTCTATTATGGCAATAGAAACAATAAATTTAGACTAGAAAATTATTTTTTCACATGATCATCATCTTTGGCGATTCATTTTTGCCAGTATAAGCAAAAAACTGCATGTGACAATCATAAACGTCTAAACAAGTAGGAGTGACTGACACTCACTGTCACTACTGCTGAAACCCATTCCTCACCATCTAAATGATCACATCCTCTGTTTGGTTTCAGCAAGTGTCACTGAATATCAATGAGCACAATTTTTTTATGCACAGAGACATTCAATGATACACATCTGTTTTGTACACACTTTCATGTCAGACAACATTTTACCAAACAACTGCTCAACCATTATTTGTAACATGTCAAAAGAAATTTGGGGCAATTGGTATGAAGGTTCAGCCCTTATTTTCATAGTGTCAACATCTGCCACTGACATTCTGAGCCAACATTAATAAAACAGGTGGTAGTAATTTTGGAATGACTCTCGTTCTTTTGTAGAATCTCTGGTGCATAATTACAATTTTTTTGTGAACTTTTAGAAAGAGCACAACTCGAGGAATACCAAAGACTTATCAATTACAATTTCACTTGTCGAGTTGTCCACAGATGACCGAAGTATCTTTTGGGCATTACTGTTATTTAGACAATATTAATTATTTTCCCCATTTCTCTGTAGAATTAAATTCACACAAACCATAAGTAACATTATCTGCTCTTCAAATTAGATAATAGTTTAATTAGATTTCACTAAATTTTAGTTAAAATTTTGCATAATCTTAGATCCCTAATACTGGGGGTGTGTGTTAATAATTAGAGGGGGTTTGAAATTTTTCTCAATATGTAATGAATGTGGGGATTAATAAAAGGGGCATCAGAAAATCATTTAAATGGTCAAGAAGTGTGAAATTAATAAATATGGAGGTTTTAATAAGCTTGAGGAGGGGGTGAAAAATTTCCTAAAGAAATAAAAAATAACAAAAAATTCTCTTCTTTTATGAGGCATCTAAGAGTAAGATCATCTAAACTTTGTACTTTGATGATTTTTTTAAAAAAATAAGTGTTTGCTTTCAGAACAAACCTGCAAAATAAAATATAAAGGAAAAGAACATTTGTAATCATTTAACTTTTCCTGAGAAAAAAATAATTTCAAAGCTGATGAATATTTGATAGAAGAATCATGCAACTGAAGATAAGGATCACTTGTAATTCTTTGTGGATAATTAAATCATGCAGCTATTTCTAATCAGGTTAATGGCTTATTATTAGTAATCTAGTGAAAGTTGCAGGGTCGAAAAAAGAAAAAGTATGCACAATAAAGTATGAAAAAGAAAAAAAAAACTACTAAGACAGAAGTAATTAGGCTTACGGCCATATCACGTTGAAACAGCAGTTACTGTACAATGACTGAAGTTAAGCAATATTGAGCCTGGTTTATACCTAGGTGGGTGACAACTTGGGAATACCAGATGCTGTAAGTTTGGATGTTTGGGTGGGGTAATGAATAACGGTTCAGAATTGTTAATCGGAGAGCAAAGTTCCAATTCCCATTGTGTTCATTATATTCACTTACGTGCAAATACCCTTGGGAAAACTATGAATCCACCTATCCTCCCCCAGCTACAGGTTAATTAGTAAGATTTGTATCACTAAATTATTATTATTTGCCAAAAAATTTCTTACAATCTAAAAATATTTTCTGGCTTTAAATAACCTGCAAAGGGTTGATAAGCTGCAAAAAACAAACCAATCAAAAAGTAATAATATTTTATACAGACACTGAAAGGAAATATAAACTTACAAATATCTTTTTTCTTTTTTTTCTTTTTTGATTTCTTGTGTTTATGATGATGCTTGTGTTTGCCATTCTCTCTATATTTCTCTTGATTGTAAAAATTTTGGCCACTTGTCCCAGGTTGGGGTTCATCTGTTGTTTTTATATGAAATCTTTTCTCTTTTATACTTTCCTCAAACATTTCAGCCTCTGTAGATAAATTTCCATTGACCTGATCAGGACAGGCTTCATCTGAAGATTTAGCCTTCTCATCAGAAGTTATAGAGTTACTTTTCTTTTCTTTGGACTGTCCAATTTTTTGACTCAACTTCTTAGCCAACTGACGCATTCTTTCCTTTTGTTTTAGACTCAACTCAATTTTCTCAGGAACTTTCTTTGTTTCTTCAGATGCCTTCATCATATCAAATCTGTTTACTTTCTTAGGTTTTACTCTCACTTCTGATCCGGTTCCTGCAAACAGAGCTCCAGTCTCTGTACCTTTTGAACTGTCATCAGTTAGTGTAAATAATTCATGGAGTTCATTAGACTTGAAAAAACGTCGTTGTTTTGGATCTTTTAATATCCTGTTGCTCAAAAACTGCTTAAAAATTTGCCTGTGAGAAGAAAAAAAAAAGATAGAAAATTGAATTGAAGGAAAGAAATAAAATATTAAGCCAGAAACATAATAACAAAGGAGTAATTTATAGAATGCATAATTCAATGTTAAATATTAATGTTTATCAAATACATCCTGAAATTAACTTTTCTATCTTGTATATATCTGGCTAAAGTCTAGCATAGAAAATCTTTTTTTAAAACAGGTTAAGAATTTACATTGCCATACTTAGATGGCTGATGAGATTCATAATATATAATTACTGTAGTAATGCAGTACAAGGCCATATGTTAGGAACCTAGTAAGATTCTAACTACAGCAATAATGATCTATGAGACTAGCTTGTTAACCACTACTGTCAGATGTACAAAGGTATATATTCTCAGGTAATTTCTAAGGAATCAATGGATTTTTTACCTGAAATTATTCTCTGCTACTCTAAATGTTATTTTATGGATATTCATATTTGAGTAGACACCCTGTTTTTTTAAAGTGTGAATTGCATCTGCCGCCTGCACATTTGAGAGATTTGATAAATGTGCTCTCTGACAGGTTTTGATCAAAGAGGATGTACATTTTTCAAAAAAGGACCATGATGCTTTTTGTGGCTGAACAGTCTAAATCATACTGAATCAGACAGTGGTTTCTCTTACAAAGGGGGATGCAAGTTTGGAAACTGCTGGGGAGAACAGTTTTTTTATTAAGTCTCTTAAATACATAGGCTGGTAGACATAATTCATATGATTTAAAAAAAAAACCCCCAAAAAACAGGGTGTCTACTCAAACATGGGTATCCACAAAATAACATTTGGAGTAGTAGGAAATATTCTTAGGCACCAAATTAAAGGATGAGAGTTTTTTTTGAGGAGATTTTATGAAACCCTTGATAATATTAAAACCATCCTTGTGGTGATATGTAACTGACTGCTTAATTAGCATAACTAAGGTATAGACTATATAAATGCCCAAGCAGTAAGGGTAGTGCAGCTCTTGGTATGCAAGATAAATGACCACCACTGGATTGATAAAATATGAAGGAAATCACACTTCATAAACAACCCTGTTTATTAATTTCACACTTTCCTGATGATAAACTACATCTGACAACAAAGTCTCTAACTGGGAGATTAGAAGTTTCATGAGTGTGGAACCACCTCTTAATTGCTGTTGTTCCCAGGTTCACCCTGATCTGGGGTAGTAACACCTGTTAGAGTTACAGCTATGGGCAAATAGTGAACCTCCAAACTAAACACTAAGAAAGTATAAAAATACATTTTTATAGTAAAAATACCAGCAATACATTTTTATATTAAAAAAATTATCAACAATATCTATTTATAGCAAAATTACCAACAATACATCATCAATCAACATCTTCATGACATTAATCCATATTATATCCTACAATTTCTTAAAAAAATCAAACTGTCTTCCAAATTATAAATTCAACAAAACTACAAAAGAAAACACACATATCTCTGCATCTAGTAATTATATCCACACAAACATGTATATGCACAAAAGTTGAGTATCATCTACTATGTACTCAACTGTGAAAGCTGAATAACATATATCATATTTTTTATTTCTTCAAAGCTCCCAAGAAAATTAAATTTCAGCATTAAATGGCCCACAAGGTGCTGATATGCCATTAAACAAAAAAAACAAATCCACACTTCTCCCAAACAGGAAACAGTGATTATTATAATTGGTTTGAGTTTTTACTTGCAGACTTTTATGATTGTTTGAATAAATTGTATAAAGAAATTGTTTTTTTAAATTTTTTATGTTTGACAACAACCTTGTCTCCTGGATTTCTTGCATTTTCAGATAAGTGGATGGTGCATGAATGTATTTTCAAGTTTTTATGTGAGTTATGTGAGAAATATTTAATTTACGCAAACTTTTTTGCATACTAATTAAGTATGCTAAGGCTTCTTTACATGCTACTATCTTAGAAAAGGAAAAATGTCCTGGGAACAATCTTTGGTGTTACAGTAGTGATTCTGAAGAAACGTTTCTTTACTTAAATTCTATATGTTTGACCATTTAAATAATTTTACACACCCAACTCCAGCATTATAAGAAAAATTCCCCACTTCCTGCTACCAATTATTAAGTGCTTTCTAATGTTTGGAGGAGGCATGGTGGAGTAATGGATAGCAGCTCTGATTGAGGAATTGGAGAGCTGAGTTCGAATTCCAGTCGAATCCATTACATTCACTTATGTGCTAATACCCTTGGGAAAGGTATGAATCGTCATCTTCTCCTATTAGCTATGGGTAAATAGCAGGACAGACCAAGTTCTATAGACTTGGGTGGCAACTGGTCTACTGCAGGAAAAATCTGCCTCATCAGTCATATATCGAAAGATATGTATCACGCATGGCACATAACTGACTGAATGTTTGGTGCCCAAGAGTAACAGGATAGTAGAATAGTCTCCCTTGGATTCTACAGCGAATGGCAAGTTTTCCTGAACCAATGGAGATAAACTTTATATATTGTGGAAAACTTTAGGAAAATAAAATTTGAATAAATTAATGTTTGTAATACTATATTTTCAGTAATTTAGAACTTACTAATTCTTATATTGGTATAATTTAACATCTTACAATTTTGCTTATACTACCTTTACTCTGGCTGGAAGAAATATGCATTTAGAATATTGCCATAAAAAGAAATGGTATATGCAAACTGATCAATGATGGTGTCCAATACATTTATCATTCTAGATAACACATTCTATATATTTGTGCATTTATTTTTATATAAACCTTTCATCTTAAAATATGGAAAAGAGAGTAAAATTAATTAACCTATGGTAGATCTTTTCTTCGATTGTTCCTGAGGTGAGGAGTCGATAGATTGTTACTTGTTTTTTTTGTCCAATTCTCCACGCACGTTCTCTTGCTTGTGTATCTGTACTTGGGTTCCAGTCAGGATCATAAATAATGATTCGGTTTGCACCTGTTAAATTTACACCAAGTCCTCCAACTCGAGTTGTCAACAGAAACAAATAAATTGAATTGTCCTAGAGAGAAAAAATAAACCAAAATCAATTTTTCAAAATATTAATTTATTTTTTTTAATAAATTGTAACAATAATTCTATAAACGAGGTTTTTTAATTTTTTTTTAATGGAAAGTTTTTGAGGAACATGAAAAATGCCTTGTGGGTTAAATGGAAGGTCACCTTTCATACTTATTTTCATGGGAAACTCAGTGATTAAAAATGTTCATATCAAAGTACATGATAATTTGCAATATAATTCAGGTGATATGTTCATTTCTTTGAATAGAAATAGGAATTCTTTGTTTTGCTTTTTCCAATAGGAACATAACATTTTTATGCTTGGAAGTTGAATTATTCCAGATATGGAGGTAGCAAAATTTTAAAAAACCGATTGGACTAGTGAATGGCTTATATACTTGATGAAGGCAAAAGAATAACTTAACAGAAATGTTATCAGAAAAATGACACAGATGTGGATGCTACTAATTCCTAACTAAAGCTTAATCTCAGAATTTCAAAGAAAGTATTGAATTTTTGTTTTTCTCATGATCGCATACAAAATTAAAACAAATTAATAAAGTCTAAGAATTAATCTTTTTAGTATGTGGTCTTGGGTATCTTATTTTTTGTTAAAAGGAATCCTCATTTGAAGATAAATGCAATACTTATCTTATATTTTTTTTTATACATCAAGAAAGTTGGTAAAATTTTACTGACATTATGTAGCAAAAAACAATACTTTTTTTTCTGGTTTATAATATACTGGCTTCTTGATTGAAATGATTTTGGTTGAAATTGGCATGTTGATAAGTGAAAATGATTAAAACTAGTAAATTTCCAGTTTTTTGGTCAACAATGCAGGCAGCTGTAAAAACTGAATATGCAACTAATTGCGGTGTGTAAATACCCAACAAAAAGCCATTTTAAAAATAAATTTCAATGAAGATTGGCAAGAATACATCTCCTTTTCTCCTCACACATAATAAATTTCATTGAAGCAGATTATTCTACTTTACATTACCCTGTTACTTATTAAATTATTAAAAAAGAGGATGTTACACAGATTTGACTCATCTGAGTAGAAAACAATAGTATTTGAACACAATAATTAATACTATGTAAATGAATGTTTTTGTTGTAATTATTTTTTTATATCTAAAAGTAAAATTATAAACTTAGCAGCCAATATAATTATCAACAATTGACATGATGAGAATTAAATATTTACAATGTCCTTAAATATGAGTAAGTTATCAGTAATGTTCTTGAATAGGCAAATTTTCTTATGAATAATGTCTGATTGGTGAAATGAATTACAGAGTTAACAGTTTATTATTAATCAAACATTATTGATTAACATTACCAATTTAGCAATTCTTTGTCTCTCTCTCTCTCAAATATATATGTGTTTGGAAATATGTGATGGGATGTTCTTAATATTTTATGTTTTCATCATGAGATGATTTATTGAGGAAAGTCAGCCCATGATGCACACATAAAATATTTCTATTTATTAAACAGTATTTGTCATGTTTGTTGATCTGCACATTTGAGAAATCTTAGTAAAGAAAATGTGTCATCTACTGTTTGATCCAACTTGTTTTACCGCTTGACCATGAATGACTTCACAGTAAGCAACATTCTTTTTACTCTCTTTAAGGAAAGCAGATTTCCTTCACTCAGATTATTTTTCTTGAGAGCCCATATCTGCTCAGTTTCATATCTGAAACATAAACTAAGCAATTTCTAAAGAATTAATGGATTTAATTTGGCTTTTCCTGACCAACTGTTCTTTGTACCTAGTTGGTTAGAGTGTGCTGGGTCTAACAGCAGCTCCCTGTGCCCTGTGGGGTGCAGGCTTGAATCCTGCCTGAGAGTGCAAATTTTTCTTTAATAATATTTCTCAAACATTCAAGCAGTTAGACTAAAATAAATAAATATACTGTTTAATAAACAAATGGATCACCTACTCAAGTACAAATATCCACTAAAAATAACAGAGTGATAAAAACCTATTGGATTAATAAAAAAAAATCCATTCTAAAATATATATAGATGTAAAAAAAACAGATTGTGTTTAACCCCAAAAAAATAGTTGACAAATGTACTTCTGGAAGATAACAATTTTAAAGCAAGCAGCTTTGTAATAATAATACTTAAGTGTGTGAAAGAGAGAGAAGTAATAGTAATAAATAAAATAAAATCTAGTCATCAGGGGACTTAATTTTAAAATAGAATTTTCAACAATTTTACAGTCAAATCCTCTGATGAGTAGATGTAATATTCATGAAACTTAAAGTTGCAACAAGATAACTGAATATATATTTTTATATATACTCTTTATATATATATATATATATATATATATATATATATATATATATATATATATATATATATATATATATATATATATATACTTTATATATATATATATATATATATATATATTTATATATATATATATATATATATATATATATATATATATATTTATATATATATATATATATATATATATATATATACTCTATTTATATATATATATATATATATATATTTCTACTTTATATATATATATATATATATATATTTATATATATATATATATATATATATATATATACTTTATATATATATATATATATATATATATATATATATCTACTTTTATATATATATATATATATATATATATATATACTTTATATTTATATATATATATATATATATATATATATATATATATATATTTATATATATATATATATATATATATATATATATATATATTTTATATATATATATATATATATATATATATACTTTACTTATATATATATATATATATATATATATATATATACTACATTTATATATATATATATATATATATATATACATATATATACACCTACTTATATATATATATATATACTTATATTATATATATATATATATATATTCACTTTATATATATATATATATATATACTTTATATATATACATATACACCTTTATATATATATATATTATATTTTATATACATATATATACTACTTTATATATATATATATATATATATTATATATATATATATATATATATATATATATATATATATATATATATATATATTTACTATATATATATATATATACTCTACTTTATATATATATATACTTACTTTTTTATATATATATATATATATATATATATATTTATATATATATATATATATACCCACTTTATATATATATATATATATATATATATATATATATATACTCTACTTTATATATATATATATATATACTTATTTACTATATATATATATATATATACCTACTTATATATATATATATATATATATATATATATATATATATATATATATATATATATATATACTCTACTTTATATATATATATATACTCTACTTTTATATATATATATATATTTCACTTTATATATATATATATACACTTTATATATATATATATACTTACTTTATATATATATATATATATATACTCTATTTATATATATATATATATATATACTCTTTATATATATATATATATATATATATATATATATATATATATATATATACTCTACTTTATATATATATACGCATTGTAACACAGATTATCTATTTATTTTAATGGCACCAAAATGTATTTAACTCTTACATTTTCCAAGAACGAATAAATAAAAGGTTCCTTTGTTATTCAATGTCTTCAAATCTATTTAATTATATGAGGAGGTGAAGAAAAGTTCTCAAACTGACCAACTTTCAAAAATTTGGTCAGTTGATTAGAATTTATGTTAGAATCTGTTCTTGGTCAAGCAGAGAACTTTCCAGCACCCCTTGTATATCACATTGGTGTATGAAATATATATCTTTGCTGTGTATTATAATTCTGCTTGTTTCTGTCTTCAGGTCTGTTATGCCCTGTCATTACCTCATATAAACAATGGACCATTCTATTTTGATCAAGAGAAAAAACAGAAGAAAAAGATATATCAGAGGCACTCAGTTTTTAGTGAGAAAAAGAAAATATACATAATAAAGAAAGAAAGAAGTTTTCTTGTGGAAACTTTTGTTAAATGATTGAGTAATTATCTCCCTTCGACACGCATATTTTGTCTTTCATAAAATGGGACATTACTGACGTGGAAATTGCTTTATTCTACAAAATGGTATTAGGCTAACAAAAATTGCACTACAATGTGCTGTTTTTGCTGCATTATCATAACAAACAGAAATTGGAGCATTATAATATACATGAAAAAATTTCACATTATGATTTAAATAAAAAGTTAATATATTTTTTGGAAAACACTGTTAATATTTTGGAGAATATTTTTAGAAAAAGCTTTTAAATATTTAAATAAAACAGTGAAAATACTATTTCAACTTTTAATTTTTGCAAAAATAAAATTCATAATCATAAGAAATGTGTTAATCTCAATGAATTTTAATTTTAATGAGTGATTAAAAAATATATATACCTCATTATATCTATTAATTAAAAGTTGTCTGGAAGAAATAGGTGTGGTGCCATCCATTCTCAGGTAAGTATAATTTTCTTCTTGTGTGAAACTTTCCATAATATCCAGCAGCTATAAAATATATAAAACCATTTAAAACCAAACATTTTTCATGAAAGATAAAATCTTTAATTTGGTGTTAGATAAGGTTCACTTTGACCAGAGAAATTTTTAAACATTTTGTTGCCCAAAACAAATTTCAAAAACTATATAAAATAAAGCTAATAAAATGTTATTTAATATGCTTATACAAAATATTATACATGGAGTTAGAGAAAAATTTAAGTGTAAATAACAAATTCTTTAAAATGTAATTTTTATTAACCAAAACTTAAACTTTTTATTTTATGATAAAATGAATAGTGTGTAAATGTATATATCACATGTCAAAAGTTAAAAAAATTTAAGCTAAGTGTTTCTGCATCTTTAGCATTTTGAATGTAAAAATGTAATCAGCATCTCATTCCTTCCTCTCCTATAAGACTGACTTCAATAAAGCATTATTAGCCTGAAGAATTTCCCTATAAGGATGAAATGCATTAAATATTATTTTTTTCCTATTTTGGTATTCAATTATCAAACAAACCAAGTGCAATTGAAACTATATTCAGTAAGGATTTGTAATAGCCCTGTTTACAAAGTGACATAACAAAAATGTTTTAATTAAATAGATATTAGTACTCACAGATTTACTCTGAGAAAATAAGAGAGCTCGATGTCCCTGATTTTTCCACAGGCGAAGAAGGCTTTCAACAACAATCATCTTTCCTGACCTTCGCCAGTAGCCATAATTAAGAGTTTCATCATCTTTTGTGTCTTCTCCAATGTAAATACGTGGACCACCAGTGCTGATATCAGGGTGGTTGCAAATTTTGCGCAATGTTATCAACCCAGCAAAAACCTAAGAGGCAAATTTTACAAATTGAATGTTTCTTAGCAACAAGTAACAATTAGAAAAGGTTTATTTGAAATAGAACAGTGTAAATACCAAAGAGAATACAGTTGTTTAATGATTAATATCATATTTAATGAGAACATACAGCCAAAATGTAATATTTTTATCAACATTTGTCTGCTATTGCCATAAGACCAAAAATAAGAGGATGTAGATATTTTAAAATATTATGTTTTTGTTTCATAAGCTGTGTGTGTGTTGGAGGTTTTGTAAGATTTGGGGAAAATCATTTAAAACACAACAGATATTTAAAAATATTATATTAAATGCAATCAAAATACAATAAAACTGACAAGATACTTTATGCATTTTAACATTATATGTAATAACAGTCACACACACATAGTAAATGTTATGTCTTTTAGATATTAGTAAAAATGTAAGAAACATATACACAACTAAAAGATTCACAGTGATAGAACTGATTGTCAGATGCTTAAGATTAAGTCACTTCTATTTTTTCTCCATATTTTTACCTGCGAGTTGCAATTACTACTACCTCCCTTCATATAAAGAGGGGACAGAATCAGCTACCAACCACGAAGCACAAACATGCAGATGAATATCCATTAAATAAAATAAAATAAAATTCTGATATATACATTTGTTTTCACTCTCAGTTGGGTGTTAATTGGCTCAATGAAAACATGTTGAATGTGAACAAGTTTTTCTTAAGCCAGTTAGCACCTGACTGAGAGTGAAAAATGTATATGTGGGAATTTTAATAAATTATTCAACCATATGTTTGTGTTTCATGGGTGGTGGCTGCTTCAGTCTACTGAAAGTGAGGGATACACTCATGGGTACAAATACAGGTGAAAAATGAGACCTACTTAATTTTGAGAATCTGATGATCAATTGTATCACTGAAACTTTCAGTATATATATATATATATATAAACACACTCACACACACACCACACAGGGTATGATGGGTAAATTGTTGCTAGTTTATATATTTAATTTCGCACATGTTGTCTTTTTTTGTCGACTGCACAGTATAGAAGGGTCAGTTGGGCACCATCTGTGAGAAAAAGAACACCATGATGCCATTAATTCTGCCAGAAATTAGGAAACAGCATGCTGTACTGCTGAGAGTTTGTGAATCAATCTGAAGACAGTGCAGAGTATTTAAAAAGAGTTGGGTGAGTCTAATGGCGATTATGAAGGTGTTTGGTGTGATCTTGAGTGATGGCAGTATTATGCCTCCATTTCTTCAGAGCCTCAGACTCAGCATGATTATTATGTGTGGGGTGCAGCTGAGCGAGAGACCAACAAAACTCCTTCTAATACCAAAGATAAACTGATGGCAAGGATTATGCCAGCATTCACCAACTTAAACAAGAAGACTATCCAGAAGAGTTTCAGGCAATTCTGAAGTTGTCTGGAGGACATGGCTGAAGCCAATGGCAATTTTATTGAATAAATTTACTCTTTTAGTATTTCAAGATATTTTTGTGTAACTTTGGTAAATATATCTGTTAAAATGAGATGTCAGAGTTATTTTCATTTTTGCATAATTTAGACAACAATTTATCCATCAAATTTTTGACTATATGAATGCATGTATGATTAAAGAATATACTTTTATTTTGATCAAAATTTCAATTGTTTATCCAAAAGAAAATGTTTGCTATAAAATGTATGATTAAAGAATATCTTTTATTTTGATCATTTCAATGCAAGCAAAGGCAAAATGGAAGTCATATTGTTTATCCAAAAGAAAAAATGTTTGACTATATGAATGCATGTATGATTAAAGAATATACTTTTATTTTGATCATTTCAATGCAAGCAAGGCAAAATGGAAGTCATATTGTTTATCCAAAAGAAAAATGTTTGACTATATGAATGCATGTATGATTAAAGAATATACTTTTATTTTGATCATTTCAATGCAAGCAAAGGCAAAATGGAAGTCATATTGTTTATCCAAAAGAAAAATGTTTGACTATATGAATGCATGTATGATTAAAGAATATACTTTTATTTTGATCATTTCAATGCAAGCAAGGCAAAATGGAAGTCATATTGTTTATCCAAAAAAAAAATGTTTGACTATATGAATGCATGTATGATTAAAGAATATACTTTTATTTTGATCATTTCAATGCAAGCAAGGCAAAATGGAAGTCATATTGTTTATCCAAAAGAAAAATGTTTGACTATATGAATGCATGTATGATTAAAGAATATACTTTTATTTTGATCATTTCAATCATTTCAATTGTTTATCCAAAAGAAAAATGGCTATATGAAATGTATGATTAAAGAATATATTGTTTTTGATCATTTCAATGCAAGCAAGGCAAAATGGAAAAATTGTTTATCCAAAAGAAAAATGTTTGACTATATGAATGCATGTATGATTAAAGAATATACTTTTATTTTGATCATTTCAATGCAAGCAAGTCATATTGTTTATCCAAAATGGAAGAATGCATGTATGATTAAAGAATATACTTTTATTTTGATCATTTATCCAAAAATTGTTTATCCAAAAGAAAATGTTTGACTATATGAATGCATGTATGATTAAAGAATATACTTTTATTTTGATCATTTCAATGCAAGCAAGGCAAAATGGAAGTCATATTGTTTATCCAAAAGAAAAAATGTTTGACTATATGAATGCATGTATGATTAAAGAATATACTTTTATTTTGATCATTTCAATGCAAGAAAAAGGCAAAATGGAAGTCATATTGTTTATCAAAAAAAAAAATGTTTGACTATATGAATGCATGTATGATTAAAGAATATACTTTTATTTTGATCATTTCAATGCAAGCAAGGCAAAATGGAAGTCATATTGTTTATCCAAAAGAAAAATGTTTGACTATATGAATGCATGTATGATTAAAGAATATACTTTTATTTTGATCATTTCAATGCAAGCAAGGCAAAATGGAAGTCATATTGTTTATCCAAAAGAAAAATGTTTGACTATATGAATGCATGTATGATTAAAGAATATACTTTTATTTTGATCATTTCAATGCAAGCAAGGCAAAATGGAAGTCATATTGTTTATCCAAAAGAAAAATGTTTGACTATATGAATGCATGTATGATTAAAGAATATACTTTTATTTTGATCATTTCAATGCAAGCAAGGCAAAATGGAAGTCATATTGTTTATCCAAAAGAAAAATGTTTGACTATATGAATGCATAAAGAATATACTTTTATGATTAAAGAATATACTTTTATTTTGATCATTTCAATGCAAGCAAGGCAAGCAAAAATGGAAGTCATATTGTTTATCCAAAAGAAAATGTTTGACTATATGAATGCATGTATGATTAAAGAATATACTTTTATTTTGATCATTTCAATGCAAGCAAGGCAAAATGGAAGTCATATTGTTTATCCAAAAGAAAAATGTTTGACTATATGAATGCATGTATGATTAAAGAATATACTTTTATTTTGATCATTTCAATGCAAGCAAGGCAAAATGGAAGTCATATTGTTTATCCAAAAGATTAAAAAAATATTTTGACATTTATAGCAAGGCAAAATGCATATTGTTTATCCAAAAGAAAAATGATTAAAGAATATACTTTTATTTTGATCATTTCAATGCAAGCAAAATGGAAGTCATATTGTTTATCCAAAAGAAAAAAAAATGTATGATTAAAGAATATACTTTTATTTTGATCATTTCAATGCAAGCAAGGCAAATGGAATCATATTATTTGAATTTATCCAAAAGAAAAATGTTTGACTATATGAATGCATGTATGATTAAAAGAATATACTTTTATTTTGATCATTTCAATGCAAGCAAGGCAAAATGGAAGTCATATTGTTTATCCTATATGAAAATGATTAAAGAAAAATGTTTGACTATATGAATGCATGTATGATTAAAGAATATACTTTTATTTTGATCATTTCAATGCAAGCAAGGCAAAATGGAAGTCATATTGTTTATCCAAAAGAAAAATGTTTGACTATATGAATGCATGTATGATTAAAGAATATACTTTTATTTTGATCATTTCAATGCAAGCAAGGCAAAATGGAAGTCATATTGTTTATCCAAAAGAAAAATGTTTGACTATATGAATGCATGTATGATTAAAGAATATACATAATAAATGTATAAATAACCTTATAGCGTCCATCCAGTATGTTCTGACATTCTCTAGAATCCAAATATTCTTGATACACTTCACGTTGCTCATCTGTAAGTCGACAGAACAGAACCTGCAAAATCGTTTTTCATATTAATTTTTCAGATATTTAAATTTCATGAAAAGAAACAAGTATTGTCCAAAGTATTGTACAAATTATTTTAACTAGTATAAAACAGCCAACTACTACTTATTTTCTGAACACACCAGTCTGCTCAGGCAGCTAACCACACCCTATTACAGATGCCTACTCAACTCACAGAGCACACATGTGGTTTATACTGCAACTATGCTGAGTGGACCTTAGAGTTTCTGGGAGAGAGCGTATAATCTGGTGTGATCAATTTCTTGAACAAGGCCAATATGTTCAAGCCCTTTGTTATGATTCCTTGTGACTTTGTGCTAGCACAACAATTGACAGTTTCCAAATGGTTCCATCTGCCCAATTTCACTCACAAATTACAGTGGGGTTTTCAAAGGGCTTGTATCTGTTTAGGTCAATAAAATCTAGAAGTCACCTTGATGAACAAACCGAAATTAAGTGAGATTTGAACCAGGGTTTCATTGTCAGAAAGAGAATGTTCTAAATACTAGGCTATGTACCCATATAACATAGCATAGTATCCATCAAAAATGATAAGATTATTTACAAGTTGACTGGCACTTCTGACAGAATACTTGTGCACTTTGTCTCAGATCAAATTATCAATTTTTTGAGAAATCATATTAAAAAAAAAATAATGATGTGACATACCTGTTCATTTTTGCCAGGGAGATCAAGGTTGACTTTTACATCTGATTTCATTCTCCGTAGAAGATAAGGGCCAATTGTGTCCCTTAAAACACATGCACACTTATAGGCTGTCTTTACCTGCAGCAGATATCAAAACGTTTATTTACAATTCTGACATCAACATACAAATAAAAATCATCTGCAGTGGTCCTGAGTTTTGTAATATAAATTTCCACATGATATTAGTATGTTATTATTTTATAAAATACATAATAAATATTTTCTGGTTAAGACAGTAGGAGTAAAGGTTTCAATTTCTGAATTAACTGGAAGCCAGATCTTACCTGTACTTCAGATGCATTAGAATAGCCACCCTGAACAATTGGAACAGAAAAATGCTGCATAAAATCAGGCAAAGTACCTAATTTGCCTGGAAAGATGAAATCAAATAAGGACCATAACTCTTTCAAGTTGTTCTGTATAGGAGATCCAGAGAGAATTATTCTGTGGGGTGTGCGAAACTGGAAGAAAAAAACGATTTGGATAATGGATCCAATAATTAAAAAAAACAAAAACATATGGTTCAATAAACTGTAGGGTAGTACAAAATTGTATTAGGGGTTTTAAAAATGGACATTTTAGAAGAATATCTAAGTATATACAAAAATATATAAAATAAAAGTGGAAGGAAGAGCAAGTATAAAGACAAAAACATTACTTATTGTAAAGTGGTGGATTGAAAAATATAACAACAAAAAAAGGCTAACCAATTATCTTCAGAGCCAATCAAGGAAAAAACATATATGCGAAAAATGACTGAAAAAGGGGGAGAAAAATTATCAGAGAATTAACAGTATAAATCAGATTACCTTTTGAACCAACAGCTATTCCTTCTGCTTACAGAGAGAAGGCTGCTTAGACTTAATATAAATGGTCTCAAGTGTTTCGAGGTGGTAATCTGAAGGTGCTCTACTGATTCAGTGTTTGGCACTATCATCCATTTTATAAATATTGATTACATTACAATTGATTTTACTTGATAAAAAGTGTGAGGTGGTGTAACATTTATTGGCATGAAATGTGGTATCAGTGAATTTATGTTTGAATTTTGGATGTGTTATATTATTTTTGCACTAATGCCCTCTGTAAAGGCATGAAACCACCTCTTCCTGTGCCAGTTATCATGATCAAAATCCTGTCACTGTCCAATGGTAAACAGAAAAAGAGTAGATAAAAGAGTACATGAGAAATTCATACACTCCTGATTACTTTTATTTATCTATTAGCTGCCAGCAAAATATCTGTAATATTGTTAGTTTTGAGTCAAGCTGCCAACTGTCCTTTACTGGAAATAATTCCTTTAGTTAGCACTTTCTATCCTTGTAATTTGTTGAATTTGAAAACCAAAAACAAAAAAACCCCCAAAAAACAATGTCATTTTCAATTATATCCTGTATATACAAGAATTAAATAAAAAATTACTACTTATATACTTTTTCTTTATATCCTCTTGTATTGCATTGCTTTATGACACATGATTAGGCATCAACTTCTGTCTGTCTCTTATGTTATTATACACTTTATTTCTCTTCTACTTAAAATATATGCAAATAGGTACAATCCTATTTACCAATTCACTAAATATACTTTATTATAACTAGAAAAAATTGTCTACCATAGTTTTGAGAGCTAAAAGTTATTCCATTCTATATCATTTTACCAAAGAGTAAACAATATAAAGTATATAGACATATAACACATTTTCTTGAAAAGAATATTTTAACTTATATGCAATGATTTGTAGAACATCTGGCTTGACAAAAGTACCATTAAGACATTTAATCTTGGTATGTGTGACTTTCTTGTACCATTCAAGCACCTTCTGTACCACCTTAATGTCACTGTAGCATGACATGAAAATGGATTCATCATCTGTATATGTGGAAACCCTGGCTCAATCACCACCAGGAGCAATTCCATGTAGGGCTGGACTGTGCATGCCCTGTCTCTTCACCTGCAAAGGAGAGGCTCTAACACCAAAGCATAAAATAAGGGCAATAGCAGACAACCCTGATGAACTGACCATGATAACACAAAAGTGAGAGACTGCTTTCTGTTCACCTGTACCACACCACTGGGGGAATGATACAGGAGCCTGATCCATTTGCAGAAGTTGGATTTGAATTTGGCAGCCTGCAGGTCAGCAGCCAGGTAATGATGGTTCACCCTATCGAATGCTTTGGACTGATCCAAATTGATCAGCAGGACATGATCGTCATCTTTTACTCCTAGGATCATGTGGATCAGATGCAGGTTGCTCTGAATTGCTCATCCCTTCACTGCACCAGTCTGCTCTGGTCCTAACAGAATCTTGACAACTGACTGAGTTATGTACCTGTAATTATCTAAATCCCGCCCACTAACCTTGTCCTGGAGATCTGGTTGGGGATGGACTCCTACTGGAACCAATTGTTGAACACAACAGTCAAAATTGGCACAAAGATATGTGACAGCCAACTCTCTTCAATGTCATGTAAATTTCAGCCTCTGTGATTTCACCCTCACAGCTAGTCGCTTCAGTCAGCAAAAGCTGAGGAAAGTCAGCCAAATAGCTGTGAAACTCTTTGCCACAGAATCCAGGCAACTTGGTAAACTGGCTCTTGAAATGCTGCTGAGAAACGCCTCACACAGGTCTTTGGTTGACTTCAGAGTACGCTTCTCTGAGGTATCGACCTCCTTAATATGACAATCAGAACCCAAACGGATATCTTCCTTGTGCAATTCTGCACCCATATTCACTGCTTTGTTAGACCTCTTGCTTAACCTATGTCTTATTACTTGACCCTGGTAGCACTCACTGGCTGCTCAATTTAGAGCCTGCCTAGCTAAACCTATCTCTAAGGAATCCCCACCAACTTCTGCCCAGGACAGGCTATCCTTGAGGTCTAACTTTTTTAGCTTTATCTAGAGCAAGTTGTCGGCTATATTTGGTGGTGAATGACCTAATACTATCTTTAAGCTTTTCCCACCACTTATTCAATTCCATAGTGTAATGATACTTTCTCCTCCCCAATTTATTGGCAGAAGCACACAAATGCATGCTGGGATTTCTTCCTAGTCAATAAGACAGGCCATTCCATCCAGTCTGTCTTGTTTTGAAGTCAGAACATTACATTCATTTATCTGAATTTGCTTGTGTCAATGCCAATTCTTAGTTTGTGAACTTTTTGTCATATTACTGTTGCTTTGCCTTATTACTGTTAATTTACCTTGCATATATTGTTTGCTTGCTTTATATTATTTTTGCCTGTTCTTTTTGTTTTTGTTATTGTTTACTGCAAACTTTGTCAATTCTGTTTCTTGGGCAATTCTGCCATTTATTTTAGGCTCATAGAATGAATGTCCTTGAAACATTGCATGCACAATGGAGTTGTGCATTCTTTGCATCAAGCTATCATCATTTTTAATCTTTTCCATTTAAGAAGTATGCATACATACATAGCACTGTTTTTGGTTTGTTCTTCCATCTTTATTTACAGGCAAATACTCCAGGAAATGAATAAATCCTAATAAATAGTAATCTCACAAATCTTAGAGCTGCCAATTAATTATTTAGATTCAAATCATGAAATGACTAACACCTATATCATTGGAAAAAGTTTTAATCATCACTTGATATCTGTTGATCTCCAATGAAATATCAATTGATGATGCATGCCATTTAAGAGTAAAAGATGTTATATCTGCAATTTCCCATTGTATTTTGTCACAATTTATTATGAAGTTAGCACAAGTTTCAGAAGCATTTCTTTCTTTAAGTGAATGGTGGCTTAAGAGATTTCAAAATTCAAGACAGCAAATTAACTTTGAAATGTTGCAATGCAGTTTTTTTAATTGCCTTTTTATTTCTTGTTCAGTGTTAAATTAATATACACACATTTTGACATATAATAAAAAATATATTTAATAAAACTATGTGTATATGATACCATCTTTCTTATTTTTATCACATATTTTTTCAATTAAAACTAAATATAAGGTTACATACCATTTTACAAGCTAATGTAGCCTGAGCGTCTGGATTGCGAATCTTGTGCCCTTCGTCAAGGATAATGTAATGCCACTGGTGCTTGAGAATGTGGTCCTGGTGCATTACCAAATTATTGTAGGATGTTATTAAGATGCCACTGTAGTTGTTAATACTATAGATTAATTTTTCCTGTAAGAAAAAAAAAGACATAGGTAAACATCATTTAGCATTAGTTAAGAATTAACACAAATAGGCATATAGCAAGAATGTTTTTAATTTGTATGTGATAATATATTATATATTTTGATGGGGATACATAGCACATGGATTATTGATGAGGGAAGTGGAAATGTCAAGTTCAAATTCTAGTTGAGTTCATTGCATTCACTTGGGAAAGTCATGAATCCATCACTTCTTCTCTCTGACCCCAGCTTTGGGTTAAATAGCAGAGCAGACTGGATTTTTTTAATCATTTCATATCAAGCAAGGGAATAAAGCCACAAAGATGCAATAGGTAACTTATTGAATGTGAAAGAATACAGAAAAGGAAAAGCATAATTAAGGAGAGAACAATAATAGGAAAGGAATTAAGAAAGGAGACAAAAAGATAATGAATGACATTGCTTTTAAATTTTTGAAGGTGAAAGTTGATTGGAAAGCAAGAGGCCAGAAGAGTGTTCCATAAGTGACAAGCAAAGAAGAAACATACAGTTACATCTTACCATTTCAACTGTAAAATGGAGATCTAGCTGCCCATCTAGACTTGGGTGGTAACCAGCCTAAAAGAAGGACAACTCTGAATTCAAAATAAGTGTGTTGCTGGCAATTTCATACTGTAAAAACCTACTTACAGCAACACCTAGCATAGTGAGGCTGTGAGCTGAAACTTCACAAGAGATTATGGCACTAACAAAGAGGAGGTGGACGTATCTTGATGGACAAGGTGACTTAGATAAGACAAGACCTAAATTTCAGTCTGAATTACATTGTTTTAACTCATATCATTAGTATACGATAAGGCCCAAATTAACACTCCATATCAAACAACTGGTATAGTGATGTACAAATACAATGAATAAATACTGTGAATGTATTGCCAGTATTAATATAATACCATAATGTATTATTTTAAAATTATTCAAATTGTCTACATGTTGCCAGTGAAGCATATAAAGATAAATAACTGAAAGTAGATTATAGTCTGTTGTGTTAGTTTAATAAAACTTGATGACAGATTTGTTTATATACAGTATATTTCATGTGTTAACTTTACATTTCTCAGATATTAAAACACTGTTATGATTTAATGTTCCAGAACTGTCCATGTAGAATATTAAATAAATAAAGACCCCTAAAATATTTTTAAAAAATATTCATTAATATTTTTTAAAATAAAAATTAAAAAAAATATTTTTCAGTGGATTTTTATTCCACAATCAAAAAATCTACTTTACAATAATAATAACTAGTTTTAACCTGTTAAAATTTCATGGTTTTCCTATTTTAATATTCTGATGAATCTTAATTCTTATTAAATATTTAACAATCAAATAAGGGAATTTCTACAGATATTTTATTGTTGTAGAACTCACCATAAGCTTATTCAATCACTAACTAAAGAATTAAGATTCATCAGAAAATTCAAATAGGAAAACTGTGATATTTTCATGGCTATTTCTAGTAATAATAAAGGAACTAAAATCTTTTCAAACAATATTTTAACTCTATTGCAGTTTTTATTTTCAAATTAAGCACTTAATTTTTGCATCTGTTAAAGTTCTAAATAAAATTCTAATTTATTTCCTTTCTTCATGGAGTCATTTTTATAGAAATCTAAATATTTTTATTATCCAAATAATTTAGAGATATTGCATAATTAAATAAAATCTGTGCATATGTGGAAAAATTGACTGTTTTCAAAATTTTATAAAAAATTACTTTTTTTATAGATTAATTCACAAATGTTAAATAGCAACAATTTTATTGAAATCAAATAATTTTGCAGATTTAAAAAATTTAGATGTACTTTGCCTAATACTTTGTTGTCACAAATACATATGTACATTCTCTGGAGGTGACTAAGGTTGTTTGTTTTGGTATCTGATCTATAAGAAAATCTTTGGCTTTGGGGCAGTTTTTCAATTATTTAAGTGTTACCAACTGAGATATATATAATTGTCATCATTATATTTTATTCTTTTGTCCTCTGATATAAATTATAAAATATTATTTTTTTCTCACATTATAACAGATACAATTTTTGAGAATTTTTAATTAATTGTTGGTTTATTTACTATTGTAAACTGCAATGTGTAATTTGTTAAATGTACATAGGTGGTGTTTATATAAAATAATTCTTTTCAACTTGTGTTGTCTTTTGATAAATGGACTGTCAATAAGAAATATGTACAAATAACAAGTATGGATAATTTCTTTTTTAACATATCAGTTGTAAAGCATAAATATATCACCATATATTTTTTCTTCCGGATCTAAGTGATCATGACTTTCTACAATTTTTTTCTTCTTTAACATCTCTGAATTGTCATGATGTCTGGGGAAATATAATGGAGAGGTTTTCTTTTGCCATTTTTATGGTTTGGAATTCAGAGTTGTCCTTCTCTTAGATAGATTGCCACCCAAGGTTAGATTCCAATCTCACCTGTTATTTAACTGATAGGTGGAGGGATAAGAGATGGATTCATGCCTTTCCCAAGGGCATTCATGTAAAAGTGAATGCAACAGACTAGGTAAGAATTTGAACTCAGCTTGCCAAGTACACTTCCTGCACTGATAATCACTACACTACCTGAACATCTACCACAATTTTATCAATTTCCTATAATATCCTTGCATTGAAAACCTTTTAAGAAAGGTTCACAAAAAGTTGTAAATATATTAACAGCCATGTTAATATATATTTTTGATAAAGAACATTTTGATAACAATTCTTTACCTCACTACAAGTGAAAGATCCTGTAGCATGTAAAACTGCAACTCTGAAAAGTGGCCACCAAGTGTGAAACTCCCGAACCCATTGGTACATAACAGTTGTTGGGCAAACAATTACACATGGGCCTAAGCCAGTATAACTGAAAACAGAAAAGAAACAACAATTAATCACTATAAGCAATTCTTCATTGATTTCACTTATTATTCTTACATATATTCTATATAATCTTACAATTTGTTGTTGACTATCATTAGATAATCAGAAATGGTTAATAAACCAAACTAGAAAGTGGAACCTAAAAAAAAATAAATAAATAAAAATGCCTTTTAATTAAAAATATTTCAAAATAGTCAAAAGGTGCAATTAATTTTAAGTTTCTTATAATTTACATTTTATTTATCCAAATTATACCTAGGAAGTGATAGAACAGCTCAATTTTTAGAAAGTAATTGGAAAATTTCCAATACATATTCTTAACTAGCTTAAAAGCCACCCTATCAGGCAACCTTTAAACTAGCTCCTGAGAAGGGCTCTTGATTGGGCTTTCATCACAATAGATAGGGAGGAGTAGATGTGATAGGCAACATTACACTACAGAAGAACTCAAAATTGACCGCTGGATTTAAGAACATAGAAATATAGGTCCTTGCTAGATTAGATAATCGTTATATTTGTTTTTTTTATATGTTTATATTTGATTTATAAACTGTAGTTGATATTAATTTTGTCAAATTTTCTTGATTACACAGCGTCCCTTTTATAAATGCTATTCGATTTAGTCCCCACCCCATCTCTCTCTTCTCACCCCCTTTTCTTTTCTTTTCCTCTCCCTCTCTCATCTTCTGATCTTTAAGATTATATTGTCTATTGTGTGTGTATGTCACCAGAAAATGTATCTTTTTTGGTATATCTTTAATGTATTAGACATCCGAGAATATTCATATTTCTCTCACTTAAACCGTCTTTGACTCCCCTCTTTAAAACTTCTCTCTGTTAAATATTAATCCCCGCTTCATCTTTAGACCTTCCTGTTCTTCTCTCGTCTGTTACCCCTCCCTATAGCTTTCATTTACTCTAACATTCTTGCATACACTCTCACTAAATTTTATTTTTATTCCCGGAGTTGTTTTTTCTGTTTTCTTTTTGAATTTGTAGGTCTGATGAATTGGATCAGTATTTATGATTCCAATGGAATAAATTATGACCATGGAATATTAGTGTTTAAGCCTTTTTATTATATATATATATATATATATATATATATATATATATATAACAAAGTATTTATACTTTGTTATTCAAATGCCTAACATATATGTATGTGCATAATAACATATTTGGAACAATAATTTTTTTTCTTTTTGTGGCACATGATTTTCTGTGTAAAGCAGCATTTCAAAAAATAATTATCCACTTCTTTAAGCACATTTAATTGTCTTTTCTCACAAACATCCCTTGATAATAACTTATAGGAGTTGAAATTTGGGGACAACACAATATGGACAAATTTTGGACAATTTGTCCATATACAACAACCACACTCATAAAAGAATATTTGTACATTAGAAAAAAAGTTCATTTAATAGAAACAAAATGTCTATTGTATTTAACAATACATATTTAAAGCAACAATTGTTGCCCAAATATACTGAACCAGAAAAATTTACAAACAGTGACACAGATAAACTTGTTTTAAAATAACACAGAAGCTAAATGATAATTGTAAGGAATCTTCAAAATACATTGATTTTAGATGAGGAACTCAATTTATTTCTCTTCACATATGAATTCTTTACATTTTCAGTGGCATATTTCATTGGAAAATATTAGAAATCAGACCATCTCATGTTATCTAATTATGGCTGCGTCCGAATATTATAAAGATAAAAAAAATCAAAGATGTGGGTAATCAACTGAAAACCATCAAAACATTTTTATGTTATTCATTTAACAATTATAAACTTACTTTAAATTTGCATCCCTGAGTTTGCTATTGCTGAGAGCTGCCAAGAACACAATTGTTTGTATTGTTTTACCTAATCCCATTTCATCTCCCACAATGCCTCCAGCTTCCTGGCAGTGTAGCTCCCATAACCAACGCACACCTGTCTTTTGGTACCTGGAAATATAACATTAGACTATTTATTTTGATTCAAAGAGTAAAATCTACATTTTCAAAATGCCAATTTTAAAGCTAAAAATTAGTATGAGTTTTATGACAATATGTTTGCTTTGAAGAAAGCATACTGTATTTGCTGCAATGTAAGATGCACTCCAGTTTTACAATCATATATTTACTGCACAGTTTTAGGTTTTGGTGCTTAGCTTCCTATTTATAATAATGATACATTAAATGCAAAATAACATCAGTGTGTCCAATTGTATAACCAACACGTGTTGTTGGTACCAAAAAAAAACTCATTCGGATTTGCATTTATTGGTCTTACAAACTATATATATTAAGTCCTTCCAGCCATCCTTCTGTGATCAGAAGTGGATTCTTGGCCTGAATGTTATCAGTCGTTGATGCTTGTATATTTAATATTTATAGCATATTATCTTTGGTGTTTCCTAGAGTAATATTTTAATGTTTACTTTGAGGAAAAAATGGTTCATCTTATATACAAGCAAATGTGCATCAATATTTATGTTAATTGAATTTCAAGTACAAATCTGAATAAAAAGTGCTGACTGTATGCCCTGATCAGTTAACTAATTCAAATTTGTGTCAATATTTGAAAAGAATAAAATGAGTGTATGTGTCCCTCACAAGGTAATATAAAACATCTGTAGATACCATATATTTTAAGCCAAGGGGCTTTGTGTCCAAGACCTTCTAACAAAATCCTTAAAAACTATTTAATAAAAATCACATTTAAAACTAAATTATAATCAGTGCCCCAGAAAATGTTTTTACAAAGTTTTTATTTTTAAAATATTGCTTCAACTGGCATCTAGTCTGAGGCTGTGCCTTCTGAACCTATCATTTATAAACAAGTCCTATGCTCTTGAACTGCTGACTACTGACTAATGACAGTTAATTTGGTTACCTATTTAGTGGGAAGCATGACCACTGGAGTGAAAGTTGCCTAGTTCACAGATTGATGTCCTGACTACCTGAACATGTTAACAAGAAAACACTGATGATATTTATGGTATTCAATGATTTGGAAAATATTTATCAGTAGCCATATCTTGGCCATAGACTGAATGGGACTACAACCTTGCATCAAGACCCAGATTGTTCAGTTATACCAGCATTCTGTTGTTATCGCTTACTGATGTGTCCAGTTTCTGAGACAGCTGCAAATCATCACTAGAGGTGATATAAGCAAGCTCAGAGAATAATCTCAGCTGAATGTAACGTGGATGGGGACTAAATCAGATATTAAGTTTTAAAGATACTGTATTTTATATATTTTATATGCTCCTCTCATAAAATGAATATTTTCTTTTAGATCTATCCTACTGTAAACATTTTTTGTTGTTTTGATTTAAAATACACAATTTTTTTTTTGTGTGTGTTTCACTTGTACTTATTTTCTGGGATTAAACCTATAAAGTTTCTTCCACATATAAGACTTATATAAAAGTTTTAGAAGCTAATGTTTTTGAAAAATGGAAGATGAAGTTTTCTGATTTATTTTAAAAATTAATGGCAGTAAAGATCTTAGACAAATGATACAGATCAACTCAGTAGCACTGTCATAAATTGAATACGAATTTAGCATTCTGTATAGTTCTCTCAGCAAATAGTTGGGGTGGAAGCTGAAGTCACTTAATAATGCAATGGATAAACTTAGCCAGAACTAACTGATGACTCATGAACTGGATGGGCATTTCTACTGGACAGACAGATAAATAATTCTTAATATAATTATACTTATATTAACTACTTATCTATTTATAATTGTATAGAATTATTACAGTTGATCAAAATCTATCAATATCTCAAAGTATAATGGAAAATATAGAGAAAAATTGATTGAGGAGTTTGTGAAAGATTTAAAGAAGAATAAAAAAAATATCATTTGCTATTGATATGAGACTTGATGTGTGTGTGCAATTGAATTGTATAGAGACTGTATTATTTATAGATTTACAATTAATGAGCTTTGTACATTTTGAAATGATATATTTATTATATGAACATTGAGTGTATGTAGAGAAAAGTTCAAGAGGAATATATACCAATACAGAATTTAATATCTATTAAATACTTACTTATAAAGTTTTTTCCAAAGTTTTTTTGGTACTTTTAAACCACCATCAAATTCTGCATCTGAGTCAGATTCTGAATTTTCTTCCTCACAATTTGCTTTTATAAATTCTTCCCGTACATGGTTTTTTCTGAAAACAAAGAAAAATTCATTAAAAACATCCAATATTAATTTTACCAATAAAATCAAATAGAGAATAGTTTTTTGTTGTACTTCAGCAAAAAATTGATTAAATATCTTTGTGTAGTGCATATTCAATAGTCCAAATATAAAGGGTGTTCCAATAACTTGGACTGATTTTTCAACCAAGGAAAGATTAACTATCAGACAACGTGTTAAAGTTTCAAGAGTGCAATTGGAAAAATTGTTTGTAAATTCAAACAAACCGGGTCGGTGGCAGATGTGAAAACACCATTGCATGCTTGTTTACGCCGTTCAGCTGAAAACAGGGTTGCAGTGCATGAGAATGTGGCCAAAAATCAAGATACTTGTATTCGTCAATATGCACAGGGATTGAACCTCTCCACAACAACGTTACATCATTTCCAATTTCACTCTTGGATGGTCCATTATGTTGACCCAAAAAATTGTGAAATGCATTTCGTAATAGGCTTTGATAACTTTAACATGTTTGATTGTTAATATTTCTATAGTTGAAATTACCAAAGACTTAAGTTGTTAAATCTGAAAAAAATCAAAAAAAATCATTAGATGCTTATCCTTATTTCACATTTAAAATCGGTCCAAGTTATTGGAACACTCTTTACTATCATTTAATCTAGTCAAAAACTTAGACATAATTGTCAAAAGTTGTTACTGAACACTATAGCATTAATTTGTGACATTAACTTATTATATAATATTAACATTTGAAAGTATTATTGTAAATTTTAGGTAGACTCCACACTTATTTTTGTCATTGTTATTTTTCATTTAATATTAAAGCATGAAAAAAATATTATCTTCAAAGTTTTATTTATAAACTCTTCACAATTTCTTATATTTTGTCTGTTACATCCTGTTGTGTTGAGCACTGTTATTGAATTACCTTGGTGATGAACTGAGTCTGATGTTATTTGTGAATTTTACAATTGTCTGGTTGTTTAGTTGTGCCACAGATTTTACAGGTGTCTGGGTCAGTGGTTGGATTGAACCAGCTATTAAAACTGCATTAGTTCACATAACCACTTTGTAGAGTGTTTTAAAAAGGTGTTTCCTTATCTATTGTCAATTTCAACAATGATTTTTTTTTTGTCCAAATCTGTTTTTTGAAATTAGGTTAGCACTACTTGCTAGTATAAAAAAAAAAAAAAAACTGAAGTTTTAAAATTATTCGCCAGTACTTTGGTTATTTCATTTTATTTATTATTTTTGGATAAAAGAAATAGTGAAATATTTGAAGCATGATGATAATGAAAATTATTAGTAAAATTTGAATAATCAGCAATATTATTTGTCTTGACCTGGTGTTTTGGCTTCAGTCACTTTCCCAATGCCTAAAAACTGTTTCCCTGTGCTTTTTCTATAAATACTTTCATAGTAATTGTTTGGATGAACCCTATGCTATGGTACCTAGACTTTATGAATTTAAGTGCAGTACTAGATTGGAAGATTAGAAGGTTTCATCAATTTACAGTTGAATTGGCTAGATGTAATTGTAAGTTCTATGTTAACAATTTCTTCTCTTGCACTTCCTGCTTCTGGGACTCTTTTTGGGAAAGGTATGAATTCATCTCCTCCTGTCAGCTATGAATTAAATAGTAGTACTTTTATCTAGAAAAATCATTAATTTAAAAAAATTGTTAATTCAATATTCACTAAAACAAATTCTTCTTGTAATCCACAATACATTTTGACTTTAAATAACCCACAAAGCTTGATAAGCTGTAAAAAAAACAAAACAAATCAATCAGTTAATTTCATAAAAAAAAATATTTCTTTGGTCTAGATACAACAGGCCCATTGAAAAGGTGGCCTGCCCCATGAAAATCTCCTCCCCATAAAATGATGTGAACTAATTTTAGTGTGTAAATTCTTACTTGCAGTTGCTGTGATGTAAAGGTTGGCTCTACTGTAAACATACAACATGACTCTCAGCCAAGCTTTCCACTAACAAGCCAATGATTACTCCATATTGCATTTTGATTCTTCATCTTTTTGGTGTGCACTGAAAGCCAAGAAAGGGCCTGCAGCAGGTTCACAAGATAACAAGATGAAAGTTGATGCCATGTTGAGTAATGATAACATGAACCCTGTTTCCCACATTATTAGATAAATTTTATTCAGGGCTTTGCATGCTCACCTTGATGGGTAGGTAGGTGACACTGGTCAACTTCTGCTATGTGGATCTCTTTCTCCTGCCAACACCTTGCCCATCTACTCATCCTGACATGTGGCTGGCAATACAAAGTAACAGCATCGGAACCAAGCAATGGACAAGTTCAACTCCTGCCAAAGGCAGACCAGAACTGACTCTGATCTCAAGCATGACTGTTCATATAGACCAGAACCGGGATACATGCAATTTCTGGTTTTGTTGTTACTTGATCTCCAAAAACTCTTCATCCACTCCTTTACTTCTCCATTCCCCTTCAGTCAATGTGGATGTTGCTTAGAAGATTGGATTTCAAACAGAAAACACTTGAGATCAAGATACAACCATATCTTCCTTTTCTATGTGGATGTCCATAGTATCACATTACCACTTTAAACACTCTGGCAACAGGCCTGAATTACAATATCTAGATGACTATTATAAATAAATACCTTGTTTTCTAATATTGATATCTATTGGGTAGTCAACTCATGGTTAATACCAACTACTGACTTTTCTTACTTTTATTCTTCCTATTAGCTTATTGTATTTTATACTAAGATCAATGGATATTGACTTACTTTAATCTTGACTGGAAATATTTCAGATTGCCATCATCACGTGTCCTCTTTATAGAAGCATTTCCTGCCAAACGGCATTTGCCTCGATTACTCTCTTCATCTTCATCTTCAGAACAACTAAAATCTTCTGCTTTTTGGGGTTTTTTCCTTTTGAGAGTAGGATGTTTCCTTTTAGAACCTCTTCTCATGGGAAGGGCTGTAAATAAAAAAAAGACTGATTAGATTTCAATAAAGAGAGTATAAACATAAAATATTGGGTCAATGATAGTTGATGTAAATTTAAGTGATATGGTAATTGAAGTGCTATTAAAAACTAAGATAATAAGATAATTATTACAACGAAAAAATAAAAGTGGTCTTCTTACTATACCAGTTTTTTTATGCTAATTTTTATTAACTTTTTATTTAGAAATTGAAAAAAATTCTGCTTTAAAAAATGCCACTATAAATGAATTAACAATTAACAATAATGATGAACTGGGAGATTATATATATATTATTTTTATTATTATTATAATATATTGCTCTACTTTGTATTGAGCACTTTTTTAAAAGTAAATGCTATGAACAATGGAATTTTACTCCATTTGTTCTTTCTCTCATATATATATATATATATATATATATATATATATATATATATGAGAAAGAGAGAGAGAGACAAAGAGTATGTGATTCATGCCAGGAAATACTAGAGGTTTGAATCAAATTAAATGTCAATAGAAAATCTTTGTTCTAAGAGGAGTTGATCTGTGGTGACTTCAATATGTACCGAGCTCACTGTAAGAGATACCATAGTAGGCTTTGTATCAGAGGAGTCAAGTGTATCAGAAGGTTGATCTGTAAAGTGACCTCATAGTCACCTGGTGAAAATTTTGGCCTTAATGTCTGTGGCTGCCCCGATATGTAAAGAGATGGCCAACCTAGCTCTGAACTTAGGATATGTACACATGACACAACCAGATGACAGGAAGTTATATAAGTGCTCCACTTGAGAGGGAAAAGCAAGAGTTTCTCATATCCTTTTGAGAAGAAGATCAATATTCAAAGAAAGCCCCTAAAACCATATACCCTCACACCAACATTAATTGTTCAGTAAATAAACAATAATTTTACATATGAAAGATTTAGTCTTATATTCTTATTAAAGATTACAACAATAACATTACATATATAATAATAATGGCTAGCTACTATTTGTTTCTGAGCACACTTGTCTGCCTGGGCAGCTAGCTACACCCTATTACAGACACCTGCTCAACCCATAGAGTCCAAAATAAAACTTTTCATGGTACCTATTGATACATTTTGGATTTCAATACAAAAGCAACATCCCACATTAGTTAAAAAGGCTTTATCATTTTTATTGCAATTTTCTGCTTCTTATTTATTTTGGCTTCTCAATCCAAAATAACATCAAAAATAAGAAGCAAGTAAGACAACGCTACACAGAAGAAAAAATGAGGGTCTGTTTATGGTACATTTGACCAAACATGGAAGAAATTGTGAAAAAACACCAGGCATAGGTTTCGCAAATAGTTGAATAGAAACATTGAAATAAAGTAAGTTCATATTGGCATGTATTTTTTAAAAATCTATGGTTTTATTTCATAACATTTAAATGTATACCCTTTAAAAATTTTGTTAAGTCTGCCATGATATTTTCATTTTCTCCTAGGTGTGCTGTTGCTTAAAAAGTTTGAGAAACTCTGATTTGGCATGATCAATTTCTTGAATAATATCAGTATACTCAAACCCTCGGTCATGATGACTTGTGATTTTGTGCTAGTACAATCATTGACGGCTTCTGAACAGTCCCATCTACCCAATTTCATTCATAAGGTTTGGGTTAACTCATAGCGTGATTTTTGCTGATTTCACTTTCTGCACTGATAACTGCTATACTACCCAAACATATCCAATAAATAGTTAATAACAAAAGAAAAAAATGCACTGAAGAAAGATTATTATCAATATTTTACTAGTATTTCTTCCATCTTAATTTCTGTTGCTTTTTATTGCAACACCCAGATCATTATACTGTGATTTAAGTAAACAATGTGGATTGGGAATAAATATTTCTGATCTACACTGCTTACTTGACAATCAGAGAATGATAATCTGGAAATTGCAATAAAAAGCAAGAGAAATTAAGATGGAAGAACTAGTAGTAAAAATTAACAATAACTAACAAAGTTTCATCCGAAAAAATTCAACTATTATTACATCTATTTACTTTATTGTCCCCATTTTTGTTGTTGTTATAATGTTTTGGCTTTTGTGTCCTTCAGCCTTCATCTGGTGTATGTCAATCTGAGTAACTTACAGGTTACAGAATTTTGAACCGAATCTTTTATTTAATCTAAGGTGTAGATTGTTCTTGTTCCACTGCCCATGTCTAGGAGACAGTTCTTATTTTAGTTCTTGTCCCATTTACACTGGGTACTAGAAATTGAACTCGCAATTCATGTTATCAAATTCACGAATCAACACTTTAATTCACTAGGCTATTGTATTGTGGGACAATTATCTGTGAAGAACTTGGAGCCTTAAACCTAACCTACCTGCTGTTTGTCATGCTTGACTACACTCACTGAAGCTTGTTACAGTTGCAGCTGCTGCTGTTGAAGACCTGCAGTAATTTGTATTTTTTCTTTATTAATGGCTCTCATGCCGTATTTATTTCTATGCTAGACCTACTAAGAGGGTCCTCATATGTGCTGATCCTTTCAGATGTCTAACTCTCCAATGTTCTTCCTTGTCCAGTATTTTCATTTAATTTCACAAGTGCTGATCACTACCCTTTTCCCTTCAAAGATACTATTAAATCTGATACTACTAACATAAAAAAATATAAAGAAAGATGAAAACATACAGCATTAGGAGAAATAAAGAATACAGGCATATGGCCTAATTTAAATGACTCATGTTTGTTAGACTTCCTGGCTTAATAAGTAAGGTACTGTCACAATAGGACACTCTTCCAACCATAAAAGAGGCAAGTTCAAATCTCACTAGAGCCTTATTTTTTTATTTGCAATTCACATGGCTTACTTAAGAATTGTAATAAAAATCAACAGAAATTAAAATGAAAGAAATACTTGTCAAAAATGAAATTGATCTAAGAAATTTCAATAGAGAAATATATTTTTATCTGTTTAAAAGATTTTCTGAGAAAAGAAAATGACATTGATCTTTATATGGTAAAAAAGACTTGCTAACAAAGATTTTTAAAAAGAATGGGTCTAAAATTGCTTACGTTCATCAGGTAGCCAGTCATCATCACTGTCATTATATCCTCTCCCATCACGACAATCCTTATAACGATTTCTCTCCTCAAAACTATCATTACTATCACTTGCATCATCTCCTTTTATTGTTGGTATATTATTTGCTTTCACGGAAGGCTCAGTTTGAATTTTTTTCCGCTCATCAAATTGATTGAACTTTTTCTTTTTAGAGCTGTTAGGGTAAAATCTGGAATCTTGTAGATATGACTCTTTCTTTTTTAAAGTGGTTAATGTGGCAGTTGAACTTTTTTCTTTATTTTTTACAGGTGTTGACATCCTGGCTTTTGCTGTGGCCTGTTCTTTTTCCATCAAGAATTGGTCAAAGAGTGACATGTCAGACTCGGTAGTTAGTGAAATACGTTTCGGAGCTTCTTTTACAGGTTTGGTTACAGAACCAAATGGTGTCATCTCTCCGGTTCTTATCATTTTTTCTTGTTCTGTTTCCTGTTCTGACTTGCCAAATGTTAACATTTGATGCAAAACAGATAGTTCTTGTGTTTCTGGAAAAGGAGGAATGAAAAGGTAATTTTAAACAAATATAAAATCTAAACAAAAGGATATGGAGATTGTCAGATTAATAAACAAGACCTAAAGAGCAGAGTAATAAAACTGGGTGAACAGGTTAGAAAACAGAATTCTCCTCTTTAAGACTATTAGACTCCCCTTTTGTGGAGTAGAGGGCTTCAGCCTCACTATGCTATGTTGTTACAGCTGTGGTTTCTGTAGCAAGTAGGTTTTTCAAGGAGGGGGCAGTTACCAGTTCTGGGCCCAGACTTGTGTTTTTCCTAGTCTGATTGTCAACCAAAGCCCAGTCTACCTTACTATTTAATCTATAGCTGGGCCAAAAAGAAATGGATTCCTGCCTTTCCCAAGGGTATTTGTATGAAAGTGAATGAAATGAACATGGGTGAAATTTAACTTGGCATGCCAATTCCACTTTTCATACCAATACCTTCAATGCAATATATATATATATCCTCATCAAAGGAAAATAGTATCGTGATTTTCTAGAATTTATGCATTCAGATAATATTGTACATTAGCCTGAGTTCCTAAAGCAATTACAATCATGGTTTTGTTACTTGTTCTCACATGAACTTTAAGATTTATTTTTCTTATAATTTTTTTCTTTGCTAAAGATTTCAGAAAATGTGCCCACAGGCAATAAATATTTAATATGCAAACAAATATTAAAAAAACAAGTGACTATAGTTTTTAATTGTATATTATATATTGATTAGAAGCATATTTTTAGAGTTATTTTCTTCCTTTATATTTTATATTGAACAAAATTACTTTTCTCTATATAATCCTGATTCCAGTCATGTCATTTTCAAGTTTTACACGAACTCTGTAAGCAGGTCACTGGGTCAGTTTGATTTATTAAGACTATTAAGCTATTGTATGTTTCATTATAAAATTGTCAGAGTTAAAAAATATTAAGATTATTACTAGTATTTTCAAGATCATAGAAAACAAAGAAAAATCACCAATTACAATTAAGACTATTTCACTTATGATACAGAACATAAAACTTTCTTTCGAAAAAAATATAAGTTTGGTCATAATATCACTATTTTAAGCCACAGAAGATTAGTGATGAAATAGTTTTATATTGTTATTCCTTAAAAACTACTGACATGATAAATTTTCACTATGTCAAATTTTATTATCTAAGTCAATGCTTTCACAATAAAATTAGTATTAATCAACCAAAGTTAGTAAAAAATTGCAAAGATATATTCATATCCATCTATATCTCTGAGATGAAGTATTGTAATTATTTACATTTACATTCTTTGGACTGTTGTCCTCATCTTTATTGTCATATTCATTACATTTCAGCCATTGTACGCTCCGGCCTTTTGAATTGAATCATTTATTTTGTCCAGTCAGGTAGATTGTGAAACTAGAACAATCTACCATGGTGGACGAAATAAAGGGTTCAGTTTGAAATTCCAATCACCTGAAGAATATATGTTGATATGATTCTTGATATTTTGTAACCTTCACCAGTCTTTCACACATTGATTATACTAAGTTTTCTTCTGTTTGGAACTTTACATTACTTGCAGCAGTTTTTATTAATTTCCAAATATTTCCTTTGCTATGCTTGAATATCATTCTTCATTCTCATGAACTTCTCTTTTAATGATAGAGCTGCAATGTTTTTCTACATGCAAAGATTTTAGAAATTAGATAAAAGTAATTTAACAAAATGAAGAAGTGATATACCATAAATGAAGAATTACCTTGTTGAACAAGTTCTTCATCTGCATCAAGTCCATCTGCATGTCCATATACACTCAGATGTAAAGCCTTTAATTTGGCTTTTATTTCTTTCATCTGTAAATACAACAAACATATTAAGATACAGGGTAAGGATTTCTGAAAATTTACTATAACTTTTTACTACATTAAATAGCTTCTGTCAAACTAAAATATTTATAGCACTGATTAACAGAAATGGAAGCTGACTGTAATTGCTTTATTTAAATGAGTTAGCATATATTTAAAGGTCACAATACAATGTGAACTAACAAAATTTATTATGATCATCTATAGCAGAGATTCTCAGTACTAGTATGCTGTACGATCCTCTTAAGTGTGGTGTAAAATATTATCTCGGTATATATATGTGTGTATGTGTGTGGAAGTAGTAATGGTACAGCATTAGTATTTGAATAAATGAATAAGTATTAAACTTTTTATCTGACATTAGCTAAAAAGCTTTATCAGTTTTATTGCAATTTTCACTTTTTATTTATATGAATTAGGCTTTTCAACCCTAAATAACATAAAAAAAAAAAGAAGTGAGAAAAACTACACTCAACTGAAGAAGAAATGAGTGTCTGCTTATCGTTCATCTGACCAATCATTGAAGAAATCATGAAACATCACCAGGTACAGGTTTCATACTAAATAAGCTGCACTAATAGATGAATAGAAATATTGAAATAAAGTAAATTCATATTTATGTGTGTATTTTTTAAAATCTATGCTTTTACTTCATAACATTTAAAGGTATACCTTTTAAAAATGTTTCTAAGTGTATGGTGATATTTTCATTTGCTCCTAGGTGTGCTGTTGCTTAAAAAGGTTGAGACACACTGATCTATATAAATAAATAAAACTTTACCCTTTTCTCTTTCTGCTGTTTAACAGAATCAAGTTTTCGAATTTCCTTTTCTCTGGCCTTTCCTTTCATGGACAACAACACCTTGTTTAAACGAGACAGTTCTTGCTTTACAAAGCTGAAAAATACAATTGTCTATTAAATAAAAAGAATCAAACAACACAATAGGTAGTTAGTAAAGAAACAGGGTCAATTTTAAACTGAAATAAAAGCACCAATACAATCTGGTTATAAAGTTCATTTGGATTTTGCATATTCAAAGGATATTGTCACATAATAAAAATTGGCTGTTGTGATTTATATAACTCATCTCTGTGACACAATATCATCCCTTGAAAATCCTTCAAAATAAAATGTGATGATTTTAATGACAGAATGTGATTTCCTGACTCTCATGACAGAATGTTATGCCAGGACTCTCATGACAGAATGTTATGCTAGGACTCTGAATTCTGATAATAAAATAAAGTAAAATAGATAGAAAAATATCATACATACCGAAGATCTTCCTCAGATGTCTTTATCTGACCAGTGAGAATCTTTTTCCTTTTCTCTTCCTCCTCTTTGACAATTGCTTCATCAACCTGAGCCATGACATCTAGATAAGGGCAATAAAAGCAATACATCTTAAAACATGGTCAATATTAAAAAGATTCCATATTGTAGAAACTTATTTATTTAAAATAACCAAACAAAAATTTTGGAGTATTTTCTTCCCAACTTCATAAGACTGATTTCATCCATAAAATCATTGTCTGAAAAATTTCCTTGTCAGAATGGAATGTATCAGTAAGAATTTTTTTTTTTTCTATTTTGTCATCCATTTATTCTTACCTAGCTCTGTGATGGGTGATCTTTGCCACAAAAACAGGAACAATAGCCGAGTGGATTAAAATGTTAGCTCATGAATTTGGTGGCATAGTTATTGTGAGTTCAATTCCTGTGCTGGATAGTAGACTTAGACTCAGTGGAAACAGAGTGAACAATAACTGAACAGTACTAAATAAGGACAGATTTTAAAACTATTGCCTTAGATAATTAGTTTATTTTTTGTGAATGCATACTGTAGAACATTTAAGGTATATCATTCAACATAATGTGTCATGTGATAATAACAATAAAAAAAGAGAGATTTTGGGGGTACATATATTAGAGAATGAGTGTTTCAATGCATGTTCAGCATGACATATTGAATATGTAAATATCAATAAAAGTAAAAAACACAATGATTAAAATTACTTTGCATCTTTCTGTTATAAAATTTTCATGTGTTTCATAATTTTAAATAACTTTTTAATGTGCTAAAATATTTATAATTAACTAATCAACTAAAAAATCATAAATTTTCTAATTTTTTTCCAATTATGAGAAAATGTGATTTGATGGGCTTGTGAAGCCTTAAACTGAATGGAAACCGTTTTTAATATTTAAAAAAAATATAAGATTTCTGAAAAAAGGAAAAATTAAATAAAATAAAAACTGTATAGATAAATAATTTTTACTTACTTTCTTCAAACTCATCTTGGTTAAACACAGTGAGGCCAAGTGCCAATAGTTCATCATTGGCTTGGTCTTCCAGATGAGCCTTTGGTATGAGGCTAGTATTGACTTTGAATGTATCACTTGATTGAGCTCCATTGTCAGATGGAATCTCTATTAACTTAGTTTCCTGGGATGTGCTTGCAGTAGAAACATCATTTGTGGATGTTAATGGTAGAACTCCATTCTCTTCACTCAAAGTATGTGAATCTTTGACAGACATGGATGGCTCTTCAGCATCCATGGTTATTGAGTTTTAACAATATTCAAGTCTAGAAAGAAGAAAATTGTTCAGTTTAGTGTTTGCACATCAAAGATGGTTCTTGGAAATGTTCAGTTTAAATGAAATACAAAAATAGCATTTAAAGTCAAATGTCTAAATTTGTCCACAGGAATTAAGAATCAGTAGTGACTATTTTCTGAATTGGTGAATATATATTTTTTATATTAATGTTCACTCAATACAAGGCCCAAGAGCAACTCAAGATAGACTGTTACTGTGCAGTGTTGTATGAGCATAAGAAAAGGCAAGAAGAAAATTTCACGGGGTTATGCAGGTAAGATAATGGTTAGCCCTAGACTTGAAGAGGTCAAGACTAGTGATTGGTAAAACATCCTGTCAGGAGTTTGTTCTACAAAGCAGCAATTTTGGGGAATAAGCTGTTTGAATGGAACTTACTTCTTACTAATGAAATATAAAGGGAATGGCAGAGTGGGTCCCAGTTGTAAAGGTCAGGCAGGGGTTGTTGAAACTAAGGAATGTAGCTTGCCAGAACACATGCCATGGAAATAGTGATAGAGCAGTGAGACACTTGTGACATTTTGTATGCATGTCACTGTATAAGTGCTACTATTACTTTGCAATCCAGAAATGTCTCTCATAGTTGGGATCTTGGTGACTTAACTGGTTCCCCCTGTAGGCTTTTCTGATGAAAAGGGTGGCTAGACATTCAGCAGGATTAAAAAAACAAGACCTGTCAAAGAATGTATGAATCCTTTAATGGTATCAATGGCTGTCTAACACAAACACAGAAATGTAGAAATACCTCGATTGATGTTCAAGTAGACGGTAAGCCCACTGGAAATGTTGCACCTGTTAGTTTTTGTTAAGGTGTCCAACAAGAAGGAAAAATTTGATTAACACCTGTAGCTTGACAGCATTCAATGATGGTGATTGGTTCTACATTTTGGGTTCATGTTTTTCTTGCTTACAGAGTGGGATTGACCCACTGCAATGGCTTTCTCCACTTTAAAAATTTCGCTGGCATTGCTTGATTGTAAGTTGTAATGATTATACTCGACTATGATTGTTTTTTATGGCTTATCAACCTTTTGCAGGTTTTGGATTGTAATAAATTTTGGGGAGATAATAATGATTTTCTGACACAAGTCCTGCTATTTAATCCATAGTTGGGAGAGAAGAGGTGGATTCATATCTTTCACAAGGATATTTGTGTATAAGGACTGTAGTAGAAACAAATGCTTTTTTTCAAAAAAAATTTTAGAATTTAGCTTTAAGTTATCAAAGACTACCAACATAGTTAGCAGCAAGAACATTTAAAATCTCCAGTACTACCTTGCTTTGATAGTTTTTTTTTCTTTCTTGTTAAAATAAAACCCTGCAAAAAAATACTACAATTGGTAAAAAATCTGCTATGGCCCTGTTTTTTTATATATATATATATATATATATATATATATATATATGAATTCTCAGTTGGTTAATATATTATGTAATAATCACACTTCAAAATCTTTGTTTTCAGAGTTATGGCAATGGACTATAGGCAAAAGTTTATTGACTTACTTTTGAAGAAATAAAAACACAGTGAGCTTGCAAGCAGACATTTGCCATTTTTAGAACATCTCTCCAGTGATATATGTTATCTCGTCTAAAAGTAAAAAGTCTCTGGAATTCAAAATTGGTCTTTCTCCTAATTCCTAATATTTGTCAAGTTATGATTGTTTTAAAATCAAAATGGTTTAATCATTTATTTTTAGATGATCAGTTCTGGATAGTTGTTTTTTCTGCCTCTTTTTGCTTGGAAAGTCACTGGAATTTTGTCAAATATTATAAGAAAAGGGCAGATTTAAATTGATAATCTTTTTAAAAAATGACATATTTGGGGGCCCTAAAACTCAAAATTCAGTCATACTGATTCAATTTTTGCTGGCTTTTTTTTTTTTAATCTCTGCCACTTTAACGTCAAATAATGATAGGAATAAGTACTCAAGACAATATTTTCAACTTTATAAGTTCCAAAATATTAAAAGAATTTAAATCTGCAAAAATGTAAAAAAAACTATTCTCAGAATGATATTTAAAACATGCTCAGTTCCTTTCAGACTTTAAATTGATCATTACCTGTTTTTAACACCATATATAATGCACCAAAAAAAAACCCCACATATATCTGCTTGACTCTTTTGTGCAAACGCAGTGTTGAAAAGTTGGATTGAAACTAGGACAATGAGTTCACCTCTTAAAAATGGAAATATGCCTTCCAACTAGTAATTATCAATGACCATTAAGATAATCACATTGTGCTGAATTTGTTATTCTGATTGGTGCTTGTAAAAAAATTCTGAAGTGAAGTGTCATTGTTCATCTTGATGCAAAAATTTATTTTTATAATTCTTATAGCTTGAATAATGATACAAATATTATTGAGGAACAACAAGCTTGACATTTTGAATGTTTTTATTTAAATCAGCATTCCATTATATATGGACATAGTTTCTATTTTTTACAAATCAATTCTTACTTCATTTTATAAAGTGTTTTCATGCAAAAACAATTTGATCATTGATCAAGTTGCTTGTTCCTTCTTTATGTGGCATGCATGATACACATTTGGGTGAGTATGTCTTCTTAAATGTCACATGTTTCAATTCATGATTGACCTGCCAGAAGAATTCCTGCAGTAGACTGTTATTACTTTCTGGAGTAGACTAGTTGCCAACCAAGGCTACAGAACTCAGTTTGTCCGGTTATTTAACTTATAACTTTGGGAGGGGGCGGAGAAGAGGTGGAATCAACTTTCACAAGAAGGGTATTTGCGCGTAAGTGAAATGAAATGTAACGCATTCGACTGGAGTTCGATGGTTTATTATTTTATTTAAAAATAAAAATATTGATTCAATACTAAAAAAAAAAAAAAAAAAAGAACGGGACAGAAATAACATGATTATTAATTTTTTCTCTCGACATTATTTGTACATTTGATAAATCAACCAATGTGAATGTGATTTCAATTTCATACATACACCAAAAATACAAACATGCAACTAAGTGTGTTTCTATTTTAAGAAAAAAGACGTTATGCAACCACATTTATCGTTTCTCTGGTGAATTTACTGGACTGATAAAAAAAGCTAAAACATGAAAAATTCTTTTCTTTCGATACATCAGAATTTTTTTTATTTATACATGAAAATACGTAACACCATGGTTTCGCTAAAGAAGAGCATAGTATGATAAAAACGTCCTCAAACTTGATGAAAACAAAGTTTTATTGTTAAAACAGAGTCAAAATGTTTATGTTATTTATATTATTAAGAGAAAAGACCAATGCATTTTTTGATTATTTTATATTCAATTTTTCCATCCTTTTTAGAACATTCTAATTTTTGATTAAAAAAATCTTGTTTCTCTTTGTCTCAGCGGAACTATTAAATAAAAAAATAACATAGCAAATTTTAGCGCATTTTTAGAGTGACAGACATTAATTTGGAAAATCTTGTAAAAATAAAAAAAATTATCGGATTTTAATGAAACTTTCAGAAAATATTCACAAATGATTGAAATTATTTTAATTTTTTCTTTGAAAGTCATGGTAAAAATAATTTTTACATGTTACCACCCACTTAATTTTATGAAAACTCCTAGAAAGTCAATGCTGAGCATTATTGAGTTAAAAAAGCAAAGCATTTGAAGAATTTAAAATGTTTTCACATGCTTTTTTTTAAAAATCGAATCACTCGTTACCGAAAATCAGCTCTGAATTGTAAAATACAAAAGTAAAAGTAAAAACAAAACAAAAAAACCCAATAAAACAAAGACATGAAAACTAAGGATTATTTGTTGAAAAAAGATTTTTAACGAAACTTGTTTGTAGCCATAAATAAATAAATGTGGTAGTAAATCGTCATTTACGTAACTAGTTTACATTTAATTATAAAATAAAATATAAATTGAATATAATCATTAAGATCAAATGAATAAAATAGAGTCCAAAGTCCAAGAAAATGTTGACATACCATCAAAACCCGTCGTACTTTTGCTTAATTTTCTTTTTTTTTAGAGCATATTGTTAGCGATGATGATTTTGCTTTCATCACCGGTGCTGATTTTACTCAGGTCTCTTCATTAAAAATGACCTACAACTGATTGCTAGCTTCATTTTTACATCTCTAACACTAAGAGCATTGAAATAAAATAAAAAGCTTAAGAAGAAGAATGTTATCGTATTTAAAAAAATGTTATTCACTTCACTTTTGTAATTAAATTCTTCGACTACAAAGAATATCTAACATTTTACTTGTAAGTAAAAGGATACCTTTTCAAAGAAGAAATAGTCCATTTTTTCTTTGTACATTATTATTAAATAAACGACGTTGGAATGATTTTTAAAATAACTTAAGAGAGTTAACTATTTCTTTCAAACTATTAACTTCATTGTTTCTAAGAGTAGTAGAAGTAGCTAATGATCTGATCAAGAAAATTAGACAATTAGAATAAGCTAGAAAAGATTTCATAAATTGATTTGAAGATCTTGAAATTTAACGTTTCATAATTTCATTTATTTTGAACAAAACGCCCTTTTCCTTTACAAAGAAAGAATGTATTTAATCCGGAATACGAAAGTTTTCAGAAATTGCTTATGTTTAAGCGCCAGCAAAATGCACAGTTTAGGTTTAAAAAAGAAAAAGAAAAAGAAGCTATGTTGTACGATGATTTGTATAAGTTGTAACATCCAAATATATGAGCAACGAAAATGCGCTCCCAAATGTGAGTACAATTTTTTTCGGAATCAACGAAAATAAACGGCATGTGTAATCTAAAAGAAAACTAATAAAGTTGAAGAATCAACACCAAGTCCGTCCAGGGGTCGTGTGCGTAGACATTTCGTTCGTTACTTCATTTCATTGCTACAAAAAAGTGTGGCTTAGATGTTGCACAAGGCCGAAAGTATGGAGTACCCAGGGAAGATAGAACACACTACTCAGTCGTAATTGATCTAG